TCTGAAGAGTGCCTCATGTTTGACGGGCTTCCGGTTAGCGGTCTGGAACCCGTTGCTCTTCCAAGATGGGAGATGACATAGGAAACTTAGACGCGTGTAGTCCGAATCAGTGCAAATCACTAGTTTACGGAAGCCACGGTCCCTAGCGCCGCGTAGCACGATCACGATCCCCGCTACTTCAGCAAACTGTGAGGTCCTCTCACCCAGAGAGTAACATTGGGACTCCCTCCGGTCACCGTCCACCCAGACGACACCCACGCCCGCTCCAGGGGCAGGACCGTGCCGAAAAGCACTGCCATCTACGTACATACTATTGTAGTGAAATATAGATCGTATATTTATACACTGTAATTAGATCTAGATATTATAATCAGAAGCGGTTGTTTTTATCATCAGGTAGTTTACTTAAACACTTTGTATTGACTGAGAGACAAGAAAAGAGAGTTGGGATCGTTTAAGAATCTTTAATTTCTATAATTATAAATTCTTACAATCTACCAGGACTAACTCTGTGATGGATGCATATGGATTAGAATGTTATCGTGTTGGTGTGTGTGTGTGGGTGTGTTCAGAATCTCTAGGCTGACGTAGGCGGATCTGGTTGTTATGACTACAAATCACGAGGCTTCAGAAGCTGATATGAGCAGCCATTTTGCCGTGACTACGTACCGTATGGAGCCTCCCGTGTTAGATCAGGAAATGCCAGGTCCTCGGACCTTCAGATGTACTGGAGCTGGTGGAACAGCGGTCGCAGCACGACAAAGCCCGTCTGCGGATCAACCCCGGTAGCAGCGGCAGGCGTCAGCGAGTTAGCTCTTATTTTGAAGGAATGTCGTCTTGTTGTTCAAACGACGGAAATCTCCAGCTTGACAGTTCTCAGCTTAAAGTAGGAAAGTGCAGCTGGCCAGCCTGCACTTTTCTTAGCGATGATAAAGGAACTCCTTAGGAACTCAGATTGAACAGAGCTGAGGTTAAAATGGAACTGAGGATAAAATGGCGTTGCCTTGTTTTATATCCCCTAGGTGTTTATAAATCTTAGTAAAACGGATTGGACAACTTCATTAAACAACCCAGATTCTGCCCTACGACAGACGAAAGTTCTGATTGGCTGAGAACAATGTGTCATGCGTTTCCATGTTAATGTAGATCAGTCTGTCTGGTGCAGTCCTGTTTATTCATTAAACACATAACTCATGACATCTTTATTTCACAGATCATTCACCTGATTATTATTGATCAACATATGTTTTGACTAGCTTTATCACAAATAAAGTACTTTGATTAATTAAAAGCGTTCTTCTTTTCTCCTTCTGGCTCTTCTCCTGGAATGTAAACATTCAGAAACCAGCACCTGACCTTGGCAATTCCTACACGTTGTTACTGTGTAGAGGGGCAGCTGTTAAGGGCAGACAATTATAATATTCATAATGCTACCCCCCCCCCCCCCCCTTCAAGGTCAATGTGGTCCTGCAAGAGACCACTTGGTCGTTGAACAAACCCAAGTTATGAAGAATCTTGACAACCGACAGGATGCAATCCCACTGGAACAGCCAACTGTGGTGAGGTACGAACCCCACGCTGAAGAACAGTCTTGCATGTTCTGGTGGTCGTCCCTGTACACAGATGTCAAGAGATACATCACTGCCTGCCACATCTATGCCAGAGGTAAGAGCAGCAACCAACCTCCCGCTGGTCTCCTTAAGCCCCTTCCTATTCCTCTACGACTCTGGTCCCACATTGCCCTGGATTGTGTTACTGGATTATCCCCATCTAATGGATTCACAGTTATACTATCTATAGTAGATTGGTTCTCTAAAGCCTGCCAACTAATCCCATCGAAATCTCTTCCTTCATCCTCTGTTACAGCTCAACTTCTGATTAAACATTTTTCCATTTACATGGCATCCCCCAAGAGATCCTGTCTGACCGGGGTCCCCAGTTTATCTCACGCCTCTGGAAAGAGTCTGCCGCTGCGCTGGGGGCCAGGGTCTCCCTTACCTCTGGGTTCCACCCTCAAGCAAATGGCCAGTGTGAACGGCTCAACCAAGAGTTGGAGGTCACCCTGCGCTGTGTGTGTGCAACTAACCCCTTGAGCTGGAGTATGCAACTCCCCTGGGTGGAATATCTACATAATAGTCATATCTCCTCCACTGGAAAGTCCCCTTTTGAGACCTCTCTGGGCTTCCAACCCCCTTTGTTCCCCTCTGACCAGGTTCAGTCCGCCTCTTCTGTTCCTCAGTTTCTTCGTGGTGCTCGACGGGTCTGGACCCAGACCACTTTGGCCCTACAGAGGATGGCCGACCGCAACAAACGTCTCACTGGCAGTCAGACATCCTGCCCCTCCCTATGTTCCAGGTCAAAGGGTGTGGTTGTCCACCCGGGACATCTGTCTGAAGGCCTTCTTCCGTAAACTCTCCCCACGCTTCATTTGTCCCTACACTATTGCCTCAGTCCCTAGTCCCACCACCGTCCGTTTGACCCTACTCCTCCCTTAAGGTCCACCCAGTGTTTCATGTGTCTCTTGTTAAGCCTGTTGTTTCTAGTCCTCTATGCCCCTCTCCTGCTCGCTTCTTTGAAGGGGGCCTCGTCTACCCTGTCAGGAGGCTTCTCGGCGTTCGTCCTTGGGGTAGAGGTCGCCAATACCTTGTGGACTGGGAAGGGTTTGGTCCCGACGACAGGTCGTGGGTTCCTGGGTCCTTCATCACGGACCCTTCCCTCATCACCGAGTTTGAGGCTTCCAGGGCCTCTTCCTCCTCCTCCGCCTTCTCCTCCTCTGCTCAGCCGCCAGGGGGGCGTCCGTTAAGGGTGGGTGGGGGTTTACTGTCAGGATCTGGGGTGAGTCAGCACCATTCTGTTCATTATGCCTCAAGTCTCTGCAGGTGGGCGGTTCCGGAGAGCGGTCAGCTGCAGGCTATTCCTAATCAACCGGTCCAGTGTTCATAAGTAGCTGAGAGATCACTTCGCCGGATGATTACTCACTTTGGGTAGCTCTCGCCAACTTGTTTTTGTGCCCACTTTAGTAATTGCTGTTGAATTTCCTCCGCCTTGTCCTCGCCAGGAACTCTCGCCTCAGACCACCTCTGCTATAACCTGGACATCACCTTTGAGTCAGATCTCCCTCCATGCCTGGACCGACCCGCTCTCCCACCGCTCACCCCCATTGGATTTTGGATAACCACAGACACTGCTCACCCCAGTCCTGCCTGCCCTCTCAAGCTCCAGGATTTCTGGCCACAGTAAGAACCACAGAGACTGAGTCCTCCTAGTTCTGTTCCTCTCTGCCCAACCCCTCACCAGTGTTTATCTCTACAGACCCAATCCCGGAGCTGTGCTCAGCATCACCGCCACGTCTGGAGGTGCACCCTCGGCTGCCTTTAAATAAATATTTGTTTTCTCCTTACCTACGTCTCCTTGTTTGATTCTGCATGTCTAGGGTCAGGAAACTCCCCACAGTCACGGCAGTCTTTTAATCTTTCTAACTAGTTTTTATTGTTTTACTTGAAGTGATCCGTGCATTCACTGTGTGATACAATGTTTTTATTTTCTTGACCTAATGTTTTATGTTTCTACTTGATCTGTGTAGCGCCTTGGTGGCATGTTTTAGTCTGTAAGGTGCGATTTATAAATAAAGTTGAGTTGAGTTGAGGAGTGGCACAACACAGCTGAAACCGTCAATGTTGTGTACTTCGGAGAGATCTGTGACAGATATTATAAATGGTCCGATCAGCATTCGATTCCCAGACTCCCGAGTGAGAGTCACACGTGCTAACCAGTCAGCCAAACAGAGACTTCCCTTGTCTGAGTAGCCAGGGTGCATGATCAATCAGGTCACAGTAACAGGATGCTCACACTGTCACAGACACATGATGTTCTGTCTCAATCTGCCCCCCTGCTGATATTCAGCATTCTGTATTCTGCGCTTCAGGGTGTGTGTGTGTGTGCGTGTGGGGGGGCTTGTTCCATGTGAACACAAAGCGGTACAAGTGATTGCAGGATTTCATAATTGTATCTTCTCAGCAGCAGCACTGCAGGTGCTCTTCATGTCCAAAATCTGCGTAAGCCAGGTCCTTAGTCAACTTAAAGTTTCGCACATTTTTTTGTTACGTTTTCTTTTATAAATCCCAAAGTTTGCGTGGAAAGTTGCTTACGCAGTTTTCCCACCCCGTTTTGTGCGTAAGGACGCTTTATAAATGAGGCCCCTGAACTTCACTGGTCACATTAAGGCTCTTACTAGATCAGTGTTTTATCATCTGTATCAAATAGCGTGACTCAGAGGTCTCAAGTCCAGACAAGACCTAGAAAAACTCATTCATGCATTCATCTACAGCAGGTTGGACTACTGCAATGGTCTCCTAACTGGTCTTCCCAAAAGAAGCTGTGAAGCAACTGCAGCTTATTCAGAATGCTGCTGCTAGAGCCTTAACAAGAACCAAGAGAACAGAGCACATCACTCCTTTTCTTAAATCTCTACCCTGGTTACCAGCAAACCACAGAATCCATTTCAAAATACTTCTACTACTTTATAAATCACTCAATGGCATGGGGCCAGAATACATGTCAGATCTCCTTCAGGTATATATGCCCAGCAGGGCTCTGAGATCCTTAGGAAACAGTTAGCTGGTAGAACCTCGGGTCAGAACCAAACAGGGTGAAGCTGCTAATACTGCTTACAGATGGAATCAGCACCCTTATGACCTCAGATGTGCCTCAACTCTAGAAACTTTTAAATCAAAATTGAGAACCTTCATGTCTTCATCAGCATTTGAATAAATGTTCTTGTGCTGAACCTTCTGCCCTGTATCTGCTCACCCTTTACCTTTATTTTCTGTCAAGTTGATTTTAATGTTCTTGCTAACGGAAAGCACATTGAATTGCCTGTGTGTGTGAAATGTGCTATAGAAATAAAGCTGCTTTGCCTTTAATAATGCACATAAAAGGGGCACAAGCTGCTATTTGCTGGTTTGCTCTTTATGCAGATGATTTTGATATTTTTGTTGCAGATGTCGGTCCTATGAGGACTGCTGTGGAACTCGCTGCTGTGTAAGAGCCCTCTCCATCCAGAGACTGTGGTATTTCTGGTAAGTTATAGTAAAGGTCGTCTTCACTGACTACAATGTACGATACAGAAAACACATACAGTATTCCAGTAAGGACATGCCATCGACTCACCCTTGGTTACTCCAATAATTAATTTCACCAAGTCATACTTTGGTCACCACACACACCTTCTACCTTTGTTCTACCTCTAATAAAGACAAGGGGTCACTTTTCCTTTTATGTTAGACATATTGTACTATTTTTGCAGAGTTGTATGTAATAAAACAAAAAAGACACTTCTGTGCAACAAAGCAGAATAATAATCCACAGCAAAGCAAAAAGTGAGTTGATTCAAAGAAAGATGCCTCACTTTGCAATGGAAGGTAAGGACAGTGTTGTCTTGCTGTGTATTTTTTTTATTCATCTCAATTAGGGATGGGTACCTTTCACATTTGAATCAATATGGTACCAATTCCCGGTACCTACAAATCGATACCGGTACTTAATGGTACCAATTTTCGATTCTTTTGAGTGTTTAATAATTATTTAAATAGCTTTTTTTTATTAAATATATTTTATTTTTCAAATATATAACCATATTTGATAAATATCATGATAAATAACATACAACTGTTTGTATTTTATAATCGTAGTGTTGTACAAAATTCTTCAATATGAAAACCTTTAACAACTGTTTCTAAATGATGCAAAAAAACAGCTCCATGTACTCCTAATCCTTTTCTAATCCCTCTGGATTAACTCTGATTAGGAGATCATGTATTATGAACTACAAATGAAACTAAAACACACCTAGATACCATACAACAGTGTGTATTTAAATATTGTGGCATCTCACAAACTAAACCAGCTCTGTGTACTCCTTCTCCTCCCCTTTCTCCTCTGGACAAACTGTGTGATGGTGGTGGTGGTGGTGGTGGTGGTGGTGGGGGGGGGGGGGGTCCTTATAGTTTTATAAACTGCTAATTACACTGAAGCAAACATCTCTGCTGTGAACTGCATTTACTGTTTATCTTCATTCATTTTGCCATTCATTTTGAAACCTTTTATTTTTCCTGCTCAAAAGTTGGAATTTCCAAGGAGAAAGTGGACGCACCGTTAGCTATGTAAACTAAAACTAAACTATCAAGCTAATTTTATCTTAAACAGTTTATTTAGCTGCTGGAGCAGATTAAGACGCCTCACACTCAGATCGTTGTTGCTGGTTTCATCATCACCCAACAGCCCCATCACAATTAGTGAAGTGAAGCCAAACGTTGGAGCACGTTTGCTTTCTTCTAGTTGGAATGTCGGCATTCCGAGGAGAAAGTGAATGCATCATTAGCTGAACGGAAGCTAACATATCAAGCTAACGTTATTTTAAACATTTTATTTACCTACCGAAGCAGACTAAGATGATAATGTCTCACTTAGATCGTTGTTGCTGGTTTCATCATCACCCAGGTACCCATCCCATTTAGTGGACCCAAACTTCAGAGCACTTCCTCTCTGCTATGCTGCTTTCTTTACAGCCCGCCCACAGTGACTGACAACAGTACGCTAGTGTGCCAGCGAGCGGCATGGGTACCGAAATAAGGAACCGTTACGTGACATGAATTGGTACTCAGCCGATACCATGGAATTCAGTCGGTGCCTTAAAAATTACAGAATTCGATACCCATCCCTAAAATATATTTACAAGATAGGTTTTCCCTCATTTCCTACAGAATCTGCATTGCTGAGTCAGTGGGTCACTCAGATACACCGGGATAATTTCAGGCCCACACAAACCACCTGGTTGTGTACATGAATGCATCCATTACATCTCCACATTTACTGTGTTAAACTCCACACAGGATCTGATGCAACCCTGTCAAACATTACCTGGTGCACACTTTAAAACACTAGTCTGGTATTTATCTGTGGTAGAGGGCCCCTTAATCTTAGAATCTCAAGCTTCCAAGCATCACACATTTCTAATAGGAGCATTATTTGCAGGGACTCTATTCCACTAAAACACAAAAAAACATAGAAGTCCAAGTCTGTCTAAAATGAAGTTGCAAGGAAGCCATTGAAGGTTTCGGGGGCCAGAATCTGTGGCACAGGAGACGGCAGGTCCTTGGAGGCCAGCGGCAAGGAACCAGGAGATGGCGAGCCCTAGGAGACCTGGGACACAGGAACGGGACCCTAGGAGGCTTAGACGAGGCTGGACCACAGGACAGGAGGCATAACCACAGGTGTCGTGTTCACATATAAATTCGAGGGACTTCTCAGGAATGCGGAAATCACCAAGGCTGTGGGCGGCACTTCATACGCATGGGAAAGGGTTACCCTTGATTTACAGGATGCAGGTGTGGTGAAGTAGGCTGATGAGAAGGAGGCTGTGGTTACAAGGGAAACGGAGCATAGATAGAACATGACAAATATAACATTATTGCAGCACTAAAGCTGCAGAAAAAAATGTTTAACAATGAACTTGCAAAAATTCTCAATATGAATTGTTTTAGAGCCATTTTGTTGGCAGAATCTCATTCATTTTAGCTCTTAACCAGGTGTTACGACAGAACATCGGAAAAATATGTGTCCTAACGTGGTTTGTGCACAGCAAATTCAGCATGCTCAAAATAACTATCAGAGTTGATTTCAACACTTTAAAAGTGTTTATATGGGTCCACCCCAGTAAGTGTTAATTTAACACTTTTTGGAGAGTTGGTACTTTAACTCTGATTGTGTTTAACACCAGTGTAAGTGTTAAGATAGTAACCCTAAATATTTAACTTATACACGTGCTCGGAGATGCGCTCATGACATCACAGGCCACAGACTGCCCATGTGCACAATCACATCCGCATTCCCAAGGCAGTGTGGAACGAAGGGGTCGGGGGTGGAGCCAATGCTAGTGTGGAAGTGGCATTAGTAACAGATCGTCTCTTCACAAGGGCTTTATCATCTGAGCACAGAAACAAGATTGCGATCAGATTTTCCCAGAGGTCTTGCTTCTGAGATGTATGAATCCTTGACATTGGTCCACTGCTGTTTCATTTCCCTGTAATGCTTTTATTATTACAGGGTAAGGTCAGTAATGAAACCGATTTAATACACAAAGGGTCTGCTGCCATCAGAGATAACGTTTTAGTTTCATGTTTTCAGCATAACTGATAAATAAACCACAAGGTTTATTTGAAGTTAAAGTCCCATCAGTCATCACACAATGGTGAAATTCATCTCTTTGACCCATCCTTGTGGGCATCTGCAGCTGCGCTCAGGAATGATTTGGTGATTTAAGCCCCAATCCAACACTGAGTGTCAAGCAGGGAGGCTTTGGGTCCCATTGTTATGGTCTTTGGGACTAGGAGTGTGGAGTTCAAATCCCGGCCGGATCCTACCTAAGTGGACACTAACACTAGGCCACTGAGGAGGTTATTTATTTATGTGGGCTTCCAGAAAAGTTGTGAAAGTTGCTATGTAAATAAAATTTATACAAAGTGAATTATTTGTTATGGAAAATGTAGACACTGCTAAAAAAAGTAACAAAAATAAGACATCCTAGACCTGAAAGGATGAAGTATCCTCATTAAACACTTTGTTCTTTACATGGTCGAAAGAGCAGACAAAAGAAAAATCACAAAAATTATCAATGGAAAGGAAATTTACCAACCCACGGAGGTCTGGAGTCACACTCAGTGGAAAACCACACACTACAGGCTGGCTGACCCAACTGTGCTGTAAAGTGCTCGACTGTTTGATTTCACAGAAGCGTGAGTGACTCGGAGTTATTGTGTTCCTGTTTTTAGCAGTGAATGTGTTTCCATCTCAGCGCCGTCCTGCTGTAGTTGATGTTTGTTGTGCAGCTCCTGAACTCTGACGGCTGTTCTGTTAGGGTGCTGCTGATGATGGGGGTGTTGTTCTGCTGTGGGGCGGGCTTCCTCCTCCGTAGACGGATGTATCCCACCTCTCTGCGAGATGAGCCAGCCTTTAACGTCTTCTTCACCAGGAACCCCGTCACCACGCCAGGTGAAGCTGATCCACACAACAGAACTCTAGCAGCAAAGATTTAGAATACTTTTGTTCAGTGTTGCTTTTTAATTGTTTATTAAATAAAGCTTGATTGAATTTTGCTAGCGGTCAAAAGCATACAAACCTTTTTCAACTCAGAACAAATACAGGAAAGGGCCATTGGTTTATTACAGACGCCCAAAGTCGGGTTGCTGGTTCAACTCTTCCACCATTGTGCTTTTAAGTACTTTGATTTTGCAAAGTGAGGCATTCTATGTGCTCATCTTCTCTTCCTTTGTGTTTCAGTTTCTCAGCAGCCATCGGGTGTGCAGGGCTTTGGGGTAAACGGGACAACAGGAAGTGAGCCCGGGGTTGCAGTGACAAACCCTGCATACCCTGTTCATCCTGACCCCACCTACAGGATGATGGGCTCCTACCCACCTCCTCCGTCCTACTGCAACCACCCACCACCGTCATACGAACAAATTTTTCAAAACCACGACAAGAAGTGAAGGTTCTGAAGGGGTGGGATTTGGACACCAAGCACAGACGAAGAGGAAGAAAACCAGCAGAATCAACCGTTTGCAACTTGAAGGGAAGCATTTGTGGACGAGAGAAAAGGAGGAGGAACACAAAGCCCAGACGGGTGAAACTGCTAGAGCGCTTAGGTAACTGGACCATGTAAATATTTGTTCAGTGACCCGGTTCTGGCTGGTGTTTGGGGTCTTTTACGGTCAGATCCTCCCATCCGTCTCTCAGTACAAGTCCGTTTTTACCTTTACACTCTAGCTACCTTTTCCCAGTATCAGTTTTACTGGGGTGGGGTGGGGGGGGGGGGCATTTATCTGGTCACTGAAGGACAAAACGAACCGTTCTCTACAGGACTGTATTTGTTCGTGAACGTCACATCACTATTGCAAAGCACAAATGTGAAGGAGTGAGTGAGCTTCCTTCTGGTCGACTGCTTCTGAGAAGAAAATGGACACATCTCTAGCGAGCTCCAGGTTTGAACTACCCCAACCCCCCGTAGGATCACCAGATGAGAGGCAGAGGACATGTGGACAGGTCTCCTGCACCCTGCCTAGTGACATATCTATTTAGGACAGAGTTAAGTTGCTATTAGATGACTGATTGATTATTGTGCACAAGTGTTCTTTCGGACATTTTATTAGTTCCCCATTCTGCTACTTTTCCAAGCTATTCCATACACTGTATGGAAATAATAAATGACTGCCATGATCCTTTGGTTACAAGAGAAAACCTCTGATCTGCAAACTTTTTATTTTCAGATCTACAATTGTGTGCACCACACAGCCGGGTCTATATAGCATCTTAATATTTATCAGTACCATAGCATTATTATTGGGCAATAGTCACCAAACTGTGTCTGATGAATTGTAAATAAAAAACAAAACAACATCTGACATTTACAAGCTAGCACCGACACGCCCAGAGCCAGCCATCACAATGGTGAAACGTGTAATACCGAGGTGTTCCTCTTAGGCGTCATCACATACACGATACAGCAGCCTTGTTAATCTTCATGATTTTCCTGTATAAATCGTTGATGGTTACAATAAAATATTCCAGTTAAATATATCATCTAGGAGACACAGCTAGGTGATGTTTGAGAAGTGAAACTAAGTTTAGAGGATTTACAGAAAGTGTTCAATAATTGTTGAAACTAAAATAGTCAGATGCATACATTTGGGCACCACAAAAGGAAATGAACTGAATATTTAGTAGATCTTCCTTCAGCAGAAACAACAGCCTATAAACTCTTACTGTAGCTTCTGGATTCTGGTTGAAGGTCTTCTGGACCACTCTTCTTCACAAAACATCTCTAGTTCATTCAGGTCTGATGCTTCTGAGCATAGACATCTCTCTTTACTCACACCACAGATTTTCAATAACATTCAGGTCTGGGGACTGAGATGGCCGTTCCAGAACATTCTACATGTTCCTCCGCATGAATGACTTGGATGTTGAGCGGTGTTTAGGGTCATTGTCTTGTTTAAAGATCCAGCCCCGGTGCAGCTTCAGCTTTGTCACCGAGTCCTGGACGTTGGTCTCCAGAATCAGCTCATATTGAGTGGAATCCATGTGTCCATGCAATGGTCACACAGCCCACAGCATGATGGAACCACCACCATGTTATACTGTAGGTAGCCGGTGTTTTTCTTAGAATATTGTGTTCTTTTGACCTCCATACATAACACCCCTTGTTCTGCCCAAAGAACTCAGTTTTTGTTTCATCAGACCACAGCACCTTACTCCAGAATGAAGCTGCTTGTCCAGATGTGCTTCAGCAGAACTCAAGCAGCTCTTTTTGAGCTGTGGGTGAAGAAAAGGCTTCCTCTGCATCACTCACACACACAACACCTCCTTGTGTAATGTGCACCCAGTAGTTAAACGATGCACAGTGACTCCATCTGCAGCAAGAAGCTGTCGTAAGTCTCTGGTGCTGGTCTGTGGGATGACTCTGCCTGTTCTCACCATTCTTCACTTCTGTTTGTCCCAGATTTATCTCTGTCTGCCACGTGGAGCCTTCACATGAACTTAACTTCCATTTCCTCAATATGTTCCTAACTGTGGAGCCAGACAGCTGAAATCTCTGAGACAGCTTTCTGTGTCCTTCCCCTCAACCACGATGGTGAACAATCTTTGTTTTCAGCTCATGTGAGAGTTGTTATAAGACTCCCATGGTGCTGTTCTTCAGAGAATATTCACAAAGGAGGGAAACTTACAATTGGACCCTTAAAAACTCTCTCATACCTTGACTCACCTGTGTATGGAGGTAAAAGGTCACTGGGCTTACCAAACCAATTCTGAGTTCCAATATTTAGTTCTAAAGTTTTTGGAGTCAATAAAATAACAACAGTGTCCAAATTTCTGCATCTGCATCATTTAATTAAAAAAATTATTACACACTTCCTGTAAATCCTACAAACTTAGTTTCACTTCTCAAACATCACTGTGTGTGTCTCCTAGATGATATATTTAACTAAAACGTTTTACCATAACCAACCACTAATACAGGAAAATGAAGAAGACTAACAAGGCTGCCCTAGGTCATCACAGAGCATTTACTTTTATCTACTGGGACAGTCCTATTTTTATTTTCACAGGTCGTAAAATAAAAGACCTGTTTGCATTAGTGCAAACCCCGGAGCACTACGGTTGTGTTGAGGAGAACAAGTAGACACATCGTAGAGGAAACTACAGTGGTGTGAAAAACTATTTGCCCCTTCCTTATTTCTTATTCTTTTGCATGTTTAATGGTTAAATGTGTTTGTCACACAAAATGTTTCTGATCATCAGTCAAAGGTAACACAAGTAAACACAAAATGCTGTTTTGAAATGATGGTTTTTATTATTTAAGGAGAGAACACAATCCGAACCTACATTGCCCTGTGTGAAAAAGTCATTGGTAAAAAGTAAAAGGATTTTGTTCTCTCCCTAAATAATAAAAACCGTCATTTCAAAACTGCATTTTGTGTTTACTTGTGTTATCTTTGACTGATGGTTAAATGTGTTTGATGATCAGAAACATTTTGTGTGACAAACATGCAAAAGAATAAGAAATCTAGAAGGGACCAAATAGTTTTTCACACCACTGTACAAGCCACAGATTAATAAAATGTGTCATGATTTGGTCTAGAAAAGCACACCAGAACCCGGGGGGGGGGGGGGGGGGGGGCTTTGTTGTGATTTTCTTCAAATATGCTACTTTCCATGTTTTGTCTGAAAATGGTGCATAAACCATTCTCTACATTTGGAGTTTTCTTTCCATGGCTCAAGTCTCTCAAGAATAAAGTTGAAATTACATCAGTGTGAGTTTCCTTTATTTAAGGTTTCGTTCTGGGGTCACACAACGCCCTCATGCAACATCATTCAGCAGGAAATCCGAGTGAGAACTGGGTTCAGGTGTCGGAATGACCACAGAGACTGTTCATGTGTCCTCACCATGATGTGGCTTTATGACTCAAAACCCAGAGCACCGACTCAACAAAGGGACATTAGTACAAATGAAAGGTTCTTTCTGAGAGGCGGTTGCAGCTCCAATCGGGTCAGCTGAAAAGGATTTTACCCAGAGTTCCACAGGGCCTGGGAATCAGCAGCAGAAGGACCAACACTACAAGGAACAGATACATCCATGCGGACTTGTTCAGATGAACAAAACTGGACGAAAACAGGTGAAGGTGGGACACAAACGGAGAAGAGCGGATTTAAGTAGACGAGGAGAACGGCACACTGACAGGAAACGCATCACGAGCATTCAGAGGTATCGGCACTAAACTTTTGGAAGTTCTCTTCTTGGTTTGACTGCTGGGACATTAAACTGGGATTCCCTTTGCCCTCACAAAGCAACATAATAGTAAAGGAGTCCATCATTTCTAGGAGAGCAGTCACAAAAAACAGATGTGTTCCAATAAACCAGAACGATCCTGGGTTGGCCAGTTTGGAACCAAAGCCGTTTCTCCCACTTCCCTTTATTTCAGCTTGGAATTACTTGGAACGTCTTGACCAAGAGGGAAAAGTTACATCCAGTCCAGGGTACCAGGTGGTAAGTTGACTTCCAAATTACCTTCAACCCCCAGGCAATCGGTTAGCAGGTCAAAGTTCAAAGGCAGGAAAGCAGGAAGCTTCCGGCCTTTCCACCTCTGACAGGAAGTAAATGGTCCCAGCCATCCCTGAGAAGAGAAGCATCCATTAGCTGTTTGTTGTTCCTTCACAGGAATAATCAGATAGCCTGGAGACGCTGATGAGCACACGCGTTAGCGTCATGAACAGGAAGAGAACACACAGCATTAGTGCAGAGAAGTTAGAAAAACCCAAAAGTCTTGAAATAAACTATTTTCATGTTTACATTTTGAAATCTAGTGTCTAGAGATCAAACCACCACAAAGTAACAGGCGGGGCCACCAGACAGGCTCCAGAGTGGGACCACCACTATTAGGAAAGTTGTAGCAACTAAATACTTCAAAAAAGTAACTAACTACCAGGAAAGTAACTATTGTGACCGAAGGTTATGAATTGTGAGCCCAGTGTGGGAGGCGCTGGGCAGACAGCGGACCTCCGAGAGAACAGTTCCTGTATGAACACGCTGTGAGCTCAGCTCAGAGAGACATGAAACATCACATGGGAGCTCTGGACAGAGAACACGAGAGGCTGCCTCCTCTTCGGAGTTATGAGGAGGAGAAAAATACCCGTCCAGCCTAATTGTTCTAGACCTGAAAGAGTGATGCGTTCAGGCGTGAACTCCGGGTTAGGACCACACAGCAGAACCGCCAACATCCCGAATCCCGAGGCTCGACGGAGCCAAGGACGTCGGCCACATCTCTTAGCTCAGTGGTTCCTAACCTGGGGGTCCCGACCCCCACAAGGGGGCGCCAAAGCCTCTCAGTGGGTCGCCAGGACCTCTTCACTTTACGGGGTTAAAACTTCATTTATTACTTGTTTATAGCCTACATTTTGCTCACATTTTTTTTCATGAGTGAAAAGTTTACTGATATTAAGACAGGAAATAATTAGTACAGAGACAGTAACACACTTTTAAGAACATTTTGCTCAGCTCACTGTTCTATTTTCAAGTGTCAAAAGTTCATTAAAGATAGGACTGGTTGATTAATCACAGCCTTTACAGTAAATAATCTAGTATAAACAGTAATATACACATTTAAGTACATTTTGCTCAGTGTATTTTTTATGTGTCAAATGTTTATTGAAAGGAATGATTGATTTATCCGTGTTTACAAGAAACAATGTGTTCAGAAAAGTAATACAAACTGTCAAGCACATTATGCCCTGTTTGGTTTTGTTAATGACTTTGTTCTGTACTGGAGCCTACTATTACTGTTATCTATTGAATCAAGGCATATTAAAATGTGCTTGAACAATTTTATCATTTCTTAATAATGTTTGTACTGGAAGAGAGAATGGGAGGGGGTCGTCAAAAATTTTACTGGTAAAAACGGGTCCCTTGGGAAAAAGGTTGGGAACCACTGTCTTAGCTGATGCTAGATCCAGCAGCAGGTGACAGGAACCGGAGAAGAATCTGACCCACAGGCTCAAACCACCGTTTAATCCCACTGAGGGACTAGCGAACGGGACACGTCTGTGTTCTCCAACGGCCCTCAGGAAATGTTTGATGAGGGGATAATTTAAAACCCATCTGCTCCAAACCCCTGATGGCAGGAGGAGAAAGCTGCAGCATAGGTTTTAATGGTGCTTAAGGCTGGAGCTCTCTCCATCAAAGGATGAAATGTTGGTTAGCGGACATGAGAGGGGGACCACACCCTGCTCCGCACACTAGAGCTGAATGCAGCTCAAGCAGCAGAATAAGATACTACAGTGGAGGAAGTCCTGGAGTCCTGCTTACTGTCACCATGTCACGAGAGCGCCCCGAAGCCTCTAAGCTCATCCGTTCAGCGGCTAAGCCCACAGTAGCCGGTCTGGTGCTGTGGGGGTGTCTGATTGGTGGGGGAGAAAGACTGTAAACTGCTTTTAAAGGACTTTGAACTGGGGTGGCTGAAGGAGCGGTTAATGTGGTGGGGTAGGGGAGTTCTGGTGATGACACGTGTAGAACAGCTCTGACCTAACTGGCGATCGTGGAGAGTTTTGAGGCAGACCGACCAGGAGTGAGTTCCAGTAATCTGACTGAACTGTGGATGAGAATAGAAGCAGAATGGGGGGAGGGAGAGAGAGGGGCGAAGGCGACTAATATTACCAAGGTGAAAATAGGCTGACCGAGAGACGTTGGTATGAGATTTAAACGAGAAAGTGCCGTCAGGGATGACACCCAGGCTCCTAACCTGAGGGGAGGGAGAGGAGTAAAGGAGTCAACAGTAAGAGAAAAGGTGGATTTGTTCCAACAATTAAGATCTCTGTCCCTCAACATTCACGACTCACCCATCCAGACTCACGACGGGGAAGGCTGTTGTTGGTTTTGCGTCCAGAGAACGTCTGGGCTAGTAGAGGCTCTCCTCTGACGTGGCTAACTTCTAAAGAGCGCATCTGGACATTAAAAGACCGTTTCTTCACGATGGCGCTTTTCTGGCAATGGTGGCTTTCGAACGGTAAATTAGACATCATTTGCATTTGTTAAACAAAAGTGTTTACTGTGTGTACAATCATGGTTTTATCACGTTGCAAATACGACACACTATCTAGACTCGGGAGTAATTTACCTGCAGAGTAAAAAGAGGTCATCTGGTCAAGATGGCAGTTGTGCAGCATAACTTAATGTGCTATTCAATCCATCTGTTGACAATTCCTGAATTTTCCATATTAAAGTATAAATCGCAGGGTTAGCAAAGTGATTTTACCCCCCAGGACGTGCAGTCCTGCATGTTTGGCTGTTTTATAACTGGCCTTAGGTAAAAAATGAGAAGCAAATCAGTTTATTAAAGTCTGGTACGATACTGGAGCAGAAATGTAATTGGTATAGATTTGGTACTAAGGCCGAACGGTTTATCGTTTTTGACCAAATTTGTGATCATGTCATCGTCAAAGCTGCGGTTTTTGTAGCACTCCTGACTGACCCTGGATCTGTTGTCAACTACTTAGTGATCCGAGGTTTCCCCTGTGTTACAGAGTGTGGGGGGGAGGGAGGGGCTACTGGAGCTGAGCCCAGCCGACAGAACTAAACATTTAGGTTATCTTCCTGTTTTTCCCGTGACCTAGCTCTGCTACCACAGCTTTTTTTTTAAAATTATTTAATTATTTATTTATTTTCCCCCCGTGTCCTGTCTGGCTGTGAAGCAAACAGAATTGATGTCTGAATGCTGGTGACAAGCCTTAAAGATTTACTCTCAGGTGGAGCATCAAAGCATCTGCTTTTAATGTCACGCCTGATACTTAAAACTTTATTGTTATTGTTTTTGAATGCTTTGTAATTCCGACAAGACACGGAGTCAGAGGTGAAAGAGAAAGGAAAAGACAAAAGGTGGGGAGGGGGGGGGGGGGGGTTCCACAAAAATAAACAATAATGAACAAGTCTGCTTCTAGACCTGCAGAAAGAGAAATAAGAGAAAAAAAGAAAGAAAAAATGGGACACAACAGTACAACAGGAGCAAGCTATCACTGCGTCAACTTGATGAAGACATAAATCAACATTGTTTAACTGAACAATCATGATAATAAATCATAGTGCATTTAGTGGGAACCACAGCCTTAAGACATGTGTTGAACGTGCCCAAACCCATACTTATGGGAGCACTATGTGAGCACCTGTGTGTGTGCATGCGCTGGTTTATGTAAGGTTTCTCTAAAAAGCATCCAATAGAGAGTGTGAGGGACCACAGATCTGCCCCCCAAAGATGTGTAGGAGATGGAAGGAGCTCCAGGTCCCAGAGATCCAGGTGCTGCCCCAGAACACCGGAACCCCAAGGAGACTGCAACCAGAAAAGCCCCCGCCCCCCTCAAAAAGCGCAGAGAATCGCCCCGGGGGGCCACAACCAGCAGCCGGCAGAGTCCCGGGAGATATCAGCTGCAAGCCCACAGGCCCGCCCGCAGCCTCCCACCCCCTAGCCGGCCGAGCCCGGGACCCAGGGGCGACCACCCCCGCCAGGGACCCAGCAGAGCCCAGGGACCCAGACCCCACCAGGCAGCCACCGGGATCTATCAAGCAGACGCCAAAAATCTTAAACCCCCAGACCCGGTTGCCACGAACACTCAGACCAAGGCACCGCACTACACACCAGGTGTGGCAGGGGGAGGGGAGACGAAGATCTATATCATCAAAAGAAGTCCCAGGAGAAGGGAGGAGTCAAAGGCCCCACCTGACATATACAGTCACACACTTTCTCCCTCATGCTCACACATACACATACAACCAAAAACTTACAAAAATGCACGCCGGACACCCACTCATGCTCCCCATACACACCCTATTCACTCTGGTCCCGGTACTGCTGCACATGGGGTACAACCATTACCGGTTCCCAGAGTTTGACCCTTTCTGCTGGGGTGCTGATGGACAGGCTCCCCCGCCCAACGCTGAGCACAGCAACCCACCACCCCAGACCCCAACCAGAAGGCCAGATCTCCCTCTTAGCCTCCAGCCCCAGGAAGCTAAGCAACAACAGAGGTGGCTAAGACCCCTAGTCTCCCTCCACCTGCTCCAATATAGTGTGTTGACGAGGTGTATTCCATGGCTGTGGTGAGCGGGCAGTGCGGGCATTGTCTGGCCTATGCCAGCTGATGGCACCACACCACCCCACTTGCACCCACAGCCCTCTGTGTCTAAGTGCAGTTTAAAATTGGAAGTGGGCACCGGCACTCGGGATGAGGCTGAGAAATCCCCCTGCCTAGTGCCGTTGAATGTGCTCACTCACAAGGCCCTAAGTGTGTGTTTGTGTGGAATGTCGTTGGTGGAAGTGTTTAAGGTGCAAATAAAAATGGGGGGGCAGGTTGCCACAGGAATGCGGAAATGGGGTCCATACCCGCACTGCCTGACTTGTCCACCCCCAAGGTCCTACGTATGTGCATGTTTGTGTGATGATGTGAGGGAGCAGGAGGAGAGAAATGTGTGGGGATGGGGAGGAATAGCTGGTTGGGCTTAGCCCTCCAGGGAGCCAGCTCCCCCACTGGCCCCAATAGGCACCTCTGTTCCCAAAATGCCACCCAGGGCATGGAGACCCCAGCCCATCTTGCCAGGCCCCAAAGAAGCAGCATTGCAGAGCCTCACGGAGTCCGAGGACAACAACCCAGACCCACCCCAGCAGAATATCTACGCCCATCCCTGCATTTGCACAACTTCCAGAATATATGACATAGGACATCCAGGTAAGGTTGGGTCCTCCCCCTCCTGGACCTCCCCCTCCCCTGTGATGGGACATCAGAGGAGCCATGGTCTACCCGAGGCTCCTGAACCCAGGCCAGGCACTGCTGCATGTTCCTACCTTCTTCCCGGTAGCATACATGTCAAGACCCGACCCCCAAGGCCCCGCCCAGATCCCCGCACGGGGCCAGCCACCCCCACACCCCGAGCCCCCAGGCCCTCACCCAGACCTGCCCAGCGGCAATGCAGCTGCCAGACAGCGACTCGTGGCCGCCGCCAACACCTCCAAAGGGCCCCACTCAAAACCGCCAGTAGTCCACTCCCTGAGGCAACCCAAGCACCTCCAGAGGGGGGCAACAGCCCCCCAGTCCCAGACATGCCAAGTGAACCCACCTTTAGGGATACTCCAAACTCAGACCCTCCGCCCCCTCACCCACATCATCCTGCAGGACAATATCAATGGTCCCCCATCATCGCTATGTGATGGAACCGATCAAAGGAGCCCAGAGAGATTGATTTGAAGTGGAAGCAGAGGCTATATCAAGTGTAATATGATCTAACAAATGATTTCTATACTGGTTAATGCAAAGAGTATCTCTATTTTTCCAATTCAAGAGGATAGTTTTCTTAGCGATGCATATGGCAGTCAGAACCACGTGAACCAAAGATGTTTCAATCGGGACATCGTCCAGGTTTACCAGTAAACAAAGAGAGGGGGAAGTTGGGATATGACATTCCAGACACTTTGACAGGTCTTCACATACTCTACCCCAAAATTCCAGGACAAGTTGGACAGGACCACAGTGTGTGAATGTAATTGTCAGGAACGTTGTACAGCTAATTTTTAACCTGACGGTCCGTCTCTGCTGCGAATGTTCAGTTCGTCTCTCAGCAGTGTGTGTGTGTGAGAGAGAGAAAGAGAAAGAATCTCCAACAGCTGAACAGGATTTATCATAATGACACCAAGTAGACCTGAAAACGCTACTTCTCTTATCAAAGCCACGTTTGTGAAAACGTGTCGGACATTTACGACGCGTTTTAACATTGTCAAATGAAAAACATTAAATCTTCAGACATGTTGACTAGGGATGAGCGAGTACACCACTATCTGTATCTGTTCAACCAACAAAATTATCTGTATCTGTACTCGTAATGGGCGTGGCATAACCCGGAAGTGGACGTGGCTTAACCGGAAGTGGTTGTGGTTTACATCAATATATTATTTTAAGTCTGAAATTGATATGGATTGATCAGAAGTTGATATGTGTGTGGTTTATTTGAAAACTATTTACAGAGCTGCCTCAGAATTGAGATTAAATATTTTTGATCACAATAGTAAAGAAACTATTACAAAACAAGTGTTTCAATAAAATCAGAACATTAATATTTAAGTGCATGGATTAATACATCTGAACTCATGCAGAAGGAACTAAGAAATATGAAATGCTAGAACCAGACACAACTTTATGTATATTTTTTACTTTTAATTTGATTAAACAGATTTTTTTCTTAACGTTCTTGGCATTTTGCCCCACACAAAGTTAAACAAAACAATGTTGATTGAGGTGTGTGTGTGTGTGTGTGTGTGTGTGTGTGTGTGTGTGTGTGTGTGTGTGTGTGTGTGTGTGTGTGTGTGTGTGTGTGTGTGTGTGAGTGTGTGTGTGTGTGTGTGTAAGAGAGAGAGAGAGAGATAGAGAGGGAGAGAGGAAGAGAGAGAGTTAAAAAAAAATTTTAAAAACCCGACCGGAGAGGAGGTAGAGATGCAGCACGTCAGCTCTGTCTTGTCAAATGCACCATGTAAGTTACGAAAAAAAGTAACTTTAAATATTCAGCCGAAAAAGAGGCGAGCTGAAGAAAACCTAGAGAAAACTGAAGAAACGTGAGAAACAGTGAAGCAAGCACAGCGAGATCCGTTACTGTCTGTGTGTGCGTGGATGAGCCGGACGGACTGCGCTCCCGGCCGGCTAGAGAGTTTTGTGTGTAGGGAGGGGTGGGCGCTCTATGTGACTGGCCAATCACAGAGCGTGAAGACAGTCAATTACCCAATGAGGATTTTCCTTCAGCACGATTACAGATATTTACGGGGTTTACTCGTTTCATGTTCGTATTCGTCAAAAATGCTTTATCCGTACTGGATACTCATCTGAAACGAGTTTCCGGCTCATCCCTAATGTTGACTGACCTGCTTTCTTCAAGTTGCCAAAATAAAATAAACTGCCTGAAAACTAGACTGAAAGTTTGCATGGGTCCGTGACACACTCTCTGATCTGCAGCAGCCTGCAGGAGCCCTTCTGCTGATCACTTTAACCTGCAGACCAAACGCTTTCATCAGCTTAGAGAGATAACCTTAAGTCTTAATGTAACAGTTGTGCAGTTGTGCCCTTAACAGTGGTTTAGGAGAGCAGCTAACAGCCCACATCTCACTGCTTTCACAATCAACCACACGTTTCTTTAGTCTACACTCACAATGACCCCTACAGATCATTGCTGTATTTAAAGTTATATTCATACGTTTCCCGGTGTTGCATAATGATTCCTAATAAGTATAAAATGTTGGACTATTTATTGAGCAGAGGGACACTGGAAGCATCAGCGGTGCGGGCCGTCACTGGGGAAACTCGAGCCAGCTGCGCCACAGAAATAGTCAGGCACCTCCCAGGCGCAACCCGCGACATCCTTAGAGATAGGATCAGGTTCCATCTTTGCCGCGAGTCTCTTCTGGGACACGACAGTTTCCACAGTTAACATAGGACTAATCAGGTTATCACACAAGGTTTCAGTGTAAAACCCCTGGTAATTTTCTAAGTAAAAGACTATTTCGGTGATGCAATTTCATATCTCTGTAGATTACGTCAATACATGTGACCTAACGGCTTATTCACTCCCAGCATTAATTAATAAAGAAAAATATTTACAAAGATAATGGATGAAATTAATAGCTTTTGATGTTTTTATGGTATGATTTACACGACTAATGTGCTGAACCTTGACTTGAAGAAAATCAAACTGGAAACACAATTTCGCAAAAAAAAAAAAAAAACATAAATCCTCTAATACAGGCCCGTATTCAATTAACGGCCGGGTCTCATATTTTGGCCGGTGTCGGAGTCGGCGGAGGTGAATAATGGCTGGTCTCTTATTGTGGCCGGGTGGAATGTGGTAACAAGCAAGTACGGGGGGTGGTTATGTCATCGTCTCACTTTTGATTTGCCAGTGATAGACCGCAAGGGTAACTTTAACCGTGCGGAGACGAAGAGGAGGCGAAAATTTGATATCAAGTTCAAAGAGAACGCGCGCTGCAGAACACTGGGGAGCAATAGGGGTTGTATGAACTAGTTGACATCACTATAGTGACTTTTTATGCCTGTCGTCGACTAGTTGCTGTCACGTGATAATGACCGACAAGATGCAGCCCTCGGAAAAGACAGCAGCCTGCTGTCAGCAGGTGACAAGCTCCTGCGCTCGGGGGGGCAACGCGCTGTGCCAGAGCGTCGGTACTGACACGCGATCGTTCATGTCGGCTCATTTCCTTTAATGTTTTCTGTCTTTTATTTGCGCCAGATGCGTTTCGCTGCTGTGGAGCGGGGCACATCACCTTGTCCTCCGACGCACCGATCACTGATGCGGCCGCCAAGCAGGGAGCACTCCGCTGTTTTTGCGGTCGGTAGATCTGCGTCCTGAGCACGGCCACAGTAACAATCAGGTGTCGCCACCTCAAAAACTAATTTAACACGCGATCGTGCATGTTGGTTCATTTCCTTTAATGTTTTCTGTCTTTTATTTGCGCCAGATGCGTTTCGCTGCTTTGGAGCGGGGCACATCACCTTGTCCTCCGACGCACCGATCACTGATGCGGCCGCCAAGCAGGGAGCACTCCGCTGTTTTTGCGGTCGGTAGATCTGCGTCCTGAGCACGGCCACAGTAACAATCAGGTGTCGCCACCTCAAAAACTAATTTAACATGCGATCGTTCATGTTGGTTCATTTCCTTTAATGTTTTCTGTCTTTTATTTGCGCCTGATGTGTTTCGCTGCTGTGGAGCGGGGCGCATCAACTTGTCATCCGGTGACGCATCGATCACTGATGCGGCCACCAAGCAGCGAGCACTCCGCTGTTTTCGCGGTCGGTAGATCTTTTAGAACTGCAGTTCAAAGGTAACTCATAAGGTGAATATATATGAACCCAGGTAGCAGTTTCTCTTTAGGATTGAGAGGAGATGCAGGAAGATAATAAACAGGCAGGACAGAAAAATAGTCAAATAAACACAAGTTAGTTTTTGTACCTGGTGGTTGCAACAAACAGACACCATTGAAAGTCATCAGAAGTGAGGAACAGAAAATGAAATAATTATTTTAATGTTTAGAGCAGCAGGAACTCCGAGAGGCTGCAGGCGCATCAGTGAGTTTGCGGCCGCTGCGCAGGGGGAGGGGGGAGAGGGTTGAAGCAGGGGGAGGGGGGAGATGGCTGAAGCAGAAACTACCGTTGTTAAAAGAAATGTGTTTAACTTTGAAAAAGTGGGCACAATTTTAATTGTCAAAAACTCCAGCGAACCATTAGCTCATTTTGCTCAAATAGAAATAGAGGCCTGCCTCTAATTCTGGTCCTCCTTCCAATAAAGGCCTGGAGCTTGATGAGTTTGAGTCAAATACAGGCCCGGGCCTATATTAGAGGATTTACGGTAATCACAATTCAATCTTTTCCGTAAATTGTTCAGGCCAATTTGGTACCTTCAAATAGCGAGTACGGTCTGTCGGGGATGCGACAGCCATGGGTCCCGTAGTCCAGACACCACTCCGCAAACTAGAGAAGCAAAAAGCAAAGAGACAATACTTCTTCATCGTGGAGGAGATTCTCAACAACAGTTTTAAAAATCTTACCTTGTAGGCTCTGTACAGGTATTTCTTCTCCTGTGTGACATGGTAAAGCGACATGAAGCTGTAAGCGTTACCAGCGGTGCCATGACAGATTCCATAGCCTTTTCTGAGCAGCCCCCGCTGCCAGATGACCTCAGCAGATTCTGCAGCCTCCTTCAAATACTTCTCCTCTTTAAACACCTGACAGGACACACACACACACACATGCACACACACACACACACACACACACACGCACACACGCACACAGGAAGTTTGAAGGATGAGATTCAAATCACCATTCACACGAGGCCTGAACACTAGTGTTTGGAGTACAGATTTTACATGATGAGTGGTTCACTGATCTAACAGGGATACCTTAGTTTGTAAATCACTGGTAGCTTTGGCGCTGTGTGCAGGAGCCAAGTCCTGTTGGAAAATGAAATCTGCATCTCCATAAGCAGCAGGAAACATGAAGTGCTCTCAAACTTCCTGGTAGACGGCTGTGTTGATGTTGGACCTCAGAAACAATAATGGACCACCACCAGCAGATGACATGGCACCCCAACCCATCACTGACTGCGGAAACTTTATGGTGGACCTCAAGCAACGTGGATTCTTTGTCTCTTGTTCAAGAGTGGTCTGACACAATGACTGCAACAGCTGAAACCATGTCTTGCTCAAATCTGTGAGTGGTGGTTCTTGAAGTCCTGACTCTAGCTGCAGTCCACTCATTGTGAACCTCCTCCACATTCTGAATGGGTTTAGTGATCTGAGTCCCTGGGCTCTGCTGGGTCCCAGGTCGCTGGGTTCTGGGCTCGGCCGGCTTTGGGGGTGGGAGGCTGCAGGCAGGCCTGTGGGTTTGCCGCTGATATATCCCAGGCCTCTGCCGGCTGCTGGTTGTGGCCCCCCGGGGCAATCCTCTGTGCCTCTCGAGAGGGGGCTGGGGCTTTTCTGGTTGCAGTTTCCCTGTGGTCCCTGAGCTCTGGGGCTGCTCCTGGATCTCTGGAAATTGGAGCTCCTTCCATCTCCTACACATCTTTGGGGGCAGGTCTGTAGCCCCTTGCACTCTCTATTGGACGCTCCAATAGAGAAACCTTGCATATACAAGCGTGTGTACACACACAGGTGCTCACATGGTGCCCTCATAAGTATGAACTTGGGCACGTTCAACACATGTCTTAAGGCTGTGGTTGCCACTAAATGCACTGTGATTTATTATTCTGTGATTGTTCAGTAAAACAATGTTGATGTTATTCGGGAACTGCGATGCTCTGGGTGGCTGCATGTTGGAGTAGCTCTGTTGACTATATGTAAGTTTTTCCTTTTTTTGGACATTTTTTCTTCTAGTTTCTCAAGAAAAACTATTTTTTTGGACATTTTACTTTTCTGTTTCTGGTGCTGTGAAGCTTAGGGGATTTTTACTGCTATTTTTTCACTTTTTGAGCATTTGTTATGATACGTAACCATGGCAACAAGCTGATTTACAATCGGAGGCAGCTGATTAACATTGGAAAGGCTGAAAAAATACCTCAACTGAAGCCAAAAATCCCAAATGAGCTAAAATGCAAGAAGCAAGGGTGCAGAGCGGGAGCAAAACGGAGACAGACAAAGAGGAAATTCAAACCTTCTCTTCCATCGATCATAATGGGCAATGTGAGGTCACTGGCCAACAAGATGGATTAACTACAAGCCCTATCAAGGACTCAGCCAGAGTATCGGCAGTGCAGTGTTATGTGTTTCACTGAGACGTGGCTGCAGGACCATATCCCCGATTCCAGCGTCTCTCTGCCAGGATTCCTGACTGTACGAGCAGACAGAGATCTGAAGAGGAGCGGGAAAAGAAAAGGAGGTGGAGTGGCAGTGCTTGTCAACAACAGATGGTGCCATTCAGGTCATGTTTCAGTGAAACATGTCGTCTCTGCAGCCCAGATGTTGAACTCTTGGCAGTAACTTGTCGCCCATATTATTTGCCAAAAGAGTTCACAAGTGTTGTCATGGCAACCATTTATATTCCACCTTCAGCCATTGCTGAAAGTGCATGTGATGCCATCTGTTCTGTTGTCGCTAAGCTACAAAGCCAGCACCCCAATGCATTTGTGTCTATATCTGGTGATTTTAATCATGCCTCGCTCTCTGCTACACTTCCAACATTTCAACAGTTTGTCAGCTGCTCCATCAGAGAAAACAAGACATTGGATTTGTGTTATGCAAATGTAATGAATGCATACATGTGCAAAACAAGAACTCCTCTGGGACAATCAGATCACAATCTTGTTTTTCTCTGCTCAGAATACAAACCACTTGTTCAGAGGCAACCTGTGACAAGAAGAACTGTGAGAAAATGGTCACAGGACGCTGAAGAAGCCTTGCAGGGTTGTTTTGAGACCACAGATTGGAGGACTATCTGCCGAGAACATGAAGAGGACATCAATGCCATGACTGGATGTCACTGCCATCTGTGTGGACATTATACCCACCAGAACAGTGAGATGCTTCGTTAATAACAAACCTGGATCACCAGTGAACTGAAGAATCTGCTAAATGAGAAAAAAAGAGCCTTCAAGGAGGGAGACAGGGAATTATTGAGGAGTATACAGAAGCAGCTGAAGATCAAGATCAGAGACAGCAAGGAGGCATACAGGAAGAAGCTGGAGAACAAACTACAATATCAGAGATGTCTGGTCAGGGATGAAGAAGATCACAGGCTTCAAGCAGAGCAAGGATTGCACAGGTGGCAGCCTGGACACAGCCAATGAGCTGAACAAGTTCTTCAAAAGGTTCAGTTCAGGAACAAACCCAATCAGACATCCCATCCTCCTCTGATCCAACATTTTCCTGTCACACGCCAACTCCTTTGTCCTTTAACACAGTCATGGACTCTTCTGGTTCTATAAATCTGTCTTCAACCAAGTCAGGAGATGCTGCTGCCCCACTTACCTCCCCCTCCCACCTATCTGTCTCTAGAAGTCCAGAAGGTGCAGGTCCAGAAGGTGTCAGCCCCAGAGTACTGAAGGCCTGTGCAGAGCAGCTCTGTGGGATTCTGCAGCACCTCTTCAACCTCAGCCTGGCCCAGGAGAAGGTTCCAGTCTTCTGGAAGACATCCTGCCTTGTTCCAGTTCCAAAGAAAACTCGCCCATCAGTCAATGACGACTACAGACCGGTTGCCCTGACATCCCACATCATGAAGGTCCTGGAGAGACTCCTGTTGGTCCACCTGAATAAGCAAACTAGAACATATCAGGACCCGCTGCAGTTTGCTTATCGCCATGGAGTTGGAGTTGAAGATGCCATCATCCAGCTGCTTCAACCAATCCACTGTCATCTGGACAAAGCAGGCAGCACTGTCAGGGTCATGTTCTTTGATTTCTCCAGTGCATTTAACACAATCCAGCCTGATGTACTTTGCCAGAAACTCCAGAAGACACAGGTGGGGCCTCAACTATCACCTGGATTAAAGACTACCTGACAAACAGACCACAGTTTGTGAGGCTGAAGAACGGCACATCAAACCAGGCGATCAGTAACATTGGAGCACCACAGGGGACTGTACTCTCACCATTCCATTTCACCCTGTACACCTCAGACTTCCAGTACAAATCAGAGACCTGTCATCTACAGAAATACTCAGATGACTCTGCAGTTGTCGGGTGTATCAGAGATGGACAGGAAGCTGAGTACAGAGAGCTGGTGGAGCGCTTTGTGGCATGGTGTGGAATAGGGCTGCAACAACTAATCGATAAATTCGATGAAAATCGATTACTAAAAGCGTTGGCAACGAATTGCGTCATCGATTCGTTGTGTCGCACAACTCTTCCAAAAGCGCCCCCCCTTCCCGCCCGCCGTTGCGCGCAGACCAGAGCAAGTCAGATCAGCGCGAGGGAGAGCCGCAGATCAGCGCGAGGGAGAGCCGGCAGATCAGCGCGAGGGAGAGCTGCAGATCAGCGCGAGGGAGAGCCGCAGATCAGCGCGAGGGAGAGCCGCAGATCAGCGTGAGGGAGAGCCGGTACCGGCAGATCAGCGTGAGGGAGAGCCGGTAGCGGCAGATCAGCGCGAGGGAGAGCCGGCAGACTTGCGCTGCTGCGAACCGGTTCCGCATTGTTGCACAGCGATCCAGGCAGCTGCTTCCAGCGCACGGTCCATTCTCAAAGTGGCGCAACCAAAAAACTATAATTAGCACACGATCGTTCATGTCCGCACATGTTCTCTATTTTCTGTCTTATTTGTGCCTGAAGCTCGCTACTGCGGAGCTCATCACCTGTGCTGTGGTGATGTCACCTCACGCAGCATCGAAAACGCGCTCTGCGCTTTTCAGTCAGGAGATCCCTTTGATCTGCTCAAAAGTAACTGATGAGGTGAAAAGGTAAGAATCCAGGCAACAGATTTTCTGGAGAATTAAGAGGAGATGCAGGAAGATGAGAGACAGACAGGACAGGAAAATAGTTCAATAAAAACAAGAAAACAAAACAAAGTGTTGAAAAGTAAAATGTAGGTAGATTTATCTCCACTACATGTTTTTACCTATAAAAAACAATAAGTTATACACATGTCATATTAATACATCTGATACAATTCAGATCACCTTCAAAACTCAGTCACACACCCAGGGCCGTTTCAAGACATTTTGGGGGCCAAGGCAAAATGCCCCCCCCCCCCCCCCCCCCCCCAAATAACTGGGCTCCCCAGAAGCCTCTGTGTAATTCATGCCCTCTCCAGTAGTGTTAGTTATATGGTGTTTATAAGAGCCCCTCAGACATTACTGACATGTTCTAATATTATCAGATGAAAAACTAAATTATCAGACATGCTGTCTCATCTGCTTCTTTTATAAACTTGCAAAAAGTAACAAAACCATTTGAAAGCCACCATTTGTGGATTCTCTGAAAGTTTCCATGGAGTGTGTGACAACTTATTTTTTCATTGATCCTATCGTCTAATCTCACAGCTGAAACAAGCATCCTTAATAATCTGTGCACAGGAAGCTTACCGATGCTGTAGTAAAACAAAAGGTATAATAATTTATTATTAATAAAGCCTTGTTGCAGCACTAAAGCAGAAAAATTAGATTTTGCATTAAATATGCAAAATATTTACATATGAATTGTTTTAGAGCCCTTTAATTGGCAGAATCTGATATTAATTTAGTTCTTACAAAAAATGGGTCCCAACATGGTTTGTGTGGCGTTTCCATAGTGTGACGTCATAGGCACAGATCCCCTGTCCTCTTGTTTGGAAATGGAAATATGGTCACCCTACATTAAACAAACTGTCCACCCGGGCTTTTGCGCTGCACAGAGACGCTTCGCTGCCTACGACTGAACGTCAGTTGAGAGTCAGTCTCATGCAGAATGACCAATGAAGAGAGGGCCTCAAGTTAAGACCCTCTCCTCATTGGTCAGTCCACACGAGGAGGGTCAAAGGTTACTCTGGGCGGGTTACGTGTTGTCAGGCATTCAAGTATTGAGTATATTTACTGCATATTACAGTAAAATATTCTGTATGTGACCACATTATGGTGATCCTTGGGTCGTGATGATGGAGCCCTTGAATATTGTTGCCCAGGGTACAACAAAGTGTTAATCTGGCCCTGGTTCCGCCGTCACATTCCCGCAGAAACTGGTTGATCACACCGGGGCCAGACTACTAGCATGTGGTTTTACAACCACAATGTCCTCGGAAGCAAAAACGCTTTTAAAAGGGAGGGAGGAGTCCCAACTGTTGCTGCAGGCGTGTTGTGTGAGAGTGCAGTTATATACTGGTTAATGTATTTTTGGGTTCAGTTGCTTTCATGTGGCCTAATGTGAGTCTATTTGGGATCATTGGAATGATCAGCAGCATTTCTTGATGTGACTTTATGGCAGTTGCCCAGGGCATCATCGCAAGGAGGATGGCATTAATTTACTTTTGCTTTATTTGGTATTTTTTCAGTCATTTTTGGAAATAGTGATCAATTTTGATTAATTCACAGCCTATGTTTAATTACATTTAAAATAAATGTCAACAGATGAGATCAAACAAAACAGATGAGAATTGCCCTTAAGCTGTTTAACTTGGACCAAGCATTTTAGATGTAGAGATAGATGTAGCTTAGGGTCTCTGTCTATACACCTTATAAGACAATTTAGGTGATGGCATGTTGTTTTTCTGCTATTGAACTGTTTTCTAATAATGTTGTGTTAAATAAAGTGAAGGAATGAGAGAAATAACGTTTCCCTAGCAGTTTTTAAAAATTTCTCCATGTAATCCGATTAATCGATTAATCGTGTCGAGACCCTATCCGATTAATCGATTATCCAAATAATCGTTTGTTGCAGCCCTAGTGTGGAAACAATCATCTGACCTTGAACGTGAACAAAACAAAGGAGACATTTTAGACTTTAGAAGAAACAGGGTGGAGTCAAACACTGTTTCCATCATGGGAGAAGAAGTGGAGGTGGTTGAGGAATACAAATACCTTGGAGTTCACCTGGACAACAGACTGGACTGGAGAAAGAACAGCGAAGCTGTTTACAAGAAGGGACACAGCAGACTGCACTTCTTGAGGACGCTTAGGTCCTTCAATGTCTGTAGCAAGATGCTGCAGATATTCTACAAGTCTGTTATTGAGAGTGTAATCTCTTCAGCCATCGTCTGTTGGGGTAGTAGCATCAGAAGCAGGGACCTGAAAAGGCTCAACTCCCTAATAAAAAAGGCTGGTTCTGTTCTGGGGATGACTGTGGAACCACTGGAGATAATGCAAAGAAGGATTCTCCAGAGAATCAAGAACATGATGGACAACCCTGAGTATTCTCTTCACAAGACTGTCCGACAACGGAAGAGCATCTTCAGTCAGAAGCTTCTTCAGTTTGGCTGCAACACTGACCGCTACTGGAGATCCTTCCTGCCAACAGCCATTGTAATATACAATAACTCTTTGATGACTTGATTATTATTATTATTCTGAGCTACTACAGCAATCAATTTCCCTCTAGGATTAATAAAGTATCTTTGAATTGACTTGAATTATATTTCTTCATCAGGTTGACGCAGTGATAGCTTGCTCCTGTTGTATTGTTGTGTGTTGTTTTTCTGCAGGTCTAGAAGCAGACTCTTGTTCATCACTGATTGTTTATTTTCCTTCCTTTTGTCTCTTCCATTCTCCTTCACCCCTGACTCCGTGTCTGGTCGGAATTACAAAGCATTCAAAAACAACAACAATAAAGTTTTAAGTATCAGGCGTGACATTAAAAGCAGAAGCTTTGATGCTCCACCTGAGAGTCAATCTGTAAGGCTCGTCACCATCATTCAGACATTAACTGTTTGCTTCACAGCCAGACAGGACACGGGGAGAAAATAAACAGTAAATACAAATAATAATGGGTTTAGTGCCACAACCCTTCTCCAGGGTGCGGTTATCCCTGCTGCTTATACACTTTTCCTACCACATCTTGTCCTTCTCTTCACCTCTTTATTGGACACAGAACTCTCAACAGCCAGCCTCTTTAGCAATGACCTTTCGTGTCCAGTCCTCCTTGTGCAAGGTGTCAATGGTCGTCTTTGGGAAAACTGTCAGGTCAGCAGTCTTCCATGATTGTGTAGCCTACATGACTAGACTGAGAGACCATTTAAAGGCTTTTGCAGGTGTTTTGAGGTAATTAGCTGATTTGAGTGTGACACCAGAGGTTTTCAATATTGAACCTTTTTACAATATTCTAATATTCTGAGACACCAAATTTGGGATTTTCATTAGTTGTTAGTTATAATCATCAAAATAAAAGAAGTAAACATATCAGTCTGTGTGTAATGTGCGCTACCATAACCATTCTGTTTAGTTTAGCAACAGACCAGTTTTAGTTTCTTTCATGAAAGAACCTAAAATCATCAAACGTGTACGTGTGATGAATCTTGTTGCATTTATCACACAGTGACTTTATATCTGTTGGCTCTCAAGGATTGGGTTATCTCATTCCTACAGCTGTCTTCACTTTCATAGGCTGAGGCTGTTTGCAAGTTAGGACATGTCTAATCTGTTTAAGCATCTATCCTTTAATCCAAATGTAATTCAAAGCCGATTACGATTCAGACATATTTCACCAGTTTTTACTACTCCAGAAGAGAAGCAGAGCTGCTGCACACAGCTGGACTTGTACTCGGCCAAGTTTAGCTTGGTTTCACTTGCTGCCTTGCTCCTTCCTCTAGTGGTGTAGATTTTCCTCACTGCTGGGACACCGCATCCCGTGAGATCTGACTGCAGCAGAGCAGGTTCCATTCCACAGTGATGTATGAGGTGTAATCACAATATGAGGGCTTCCAGCTTTAAGCTGCATGTTGACTTTGAGGGTTCAGGGGGGGGGGCAGACACTAGCTGCTGTTGGGCAGAGAGGTGTCTGCACCAGACCAGGCGGTGGAGGGTGATGAGTTGCATGAGTGATTTGGCCCGGTGTGTTGTTTTTGGATGGCTTCATGTTCTTTTTACAGGTTGTGTTGAAGGAACAGAGCTTGAGCCGACTGGATTTGGACCCTGATCTCCCAATCCCAGGGCAGACATTCATACCACTAGGCCGCGGAGAAGGTTGTTGACAAGGTCTCTGTTTTAACGTCCAACAGTACTGATTGTTCTTACCTTATGGGCCATGAGAAGCATGTGGATGACGCCAGGTGCGCCATGGCACCAGTGAACCAGCCGGTCGCTCTCGTTGCTGAGGGATGATGGGAAATTGCCTGAACGAAACCTCTTGTGGCGGACGTAATCGATGCTGGGACGAACCAGCTCAGAGAGCAGGTCTGGGTGGACCTTTGATCCAGGCTGAAAAATAAAATATTAGTTCAAATAAATTCAGTTTATTTATATAGCGCCAAATCACGACAAGAGTCATCTCAAAGACCTTCACATAGTAAACATTCCAATACAGGTCAGTTCATTAAGCCAATCAGTAAAAAGTTTCCTATATAAGGAACCCAGCAGGTTGCATCGAGTCACTGACTAGTGTCAGAGTCTTTACAGCAATCCTCATACTAATCAAGCATTTAGCGACAGTGGAGAGGAAAACTACAAAGCTTAAATTCACCTCAGCTGTTCATAGGAATGTTCATACAGGATACATCTGACCAGCTAAATCAGCACAGCCTGTTCAGATGCAGGGTTTAAATTACGGTGAGCTAAGGGGAGCCTGGCTCCCCTTAAAGCCCTCAACTTACACACCCAGAGGGAGCCTGAAAAAAGATCGTGCTTCTACCTATATTACAGTATTTTCTGGAGTATAAAGCTTGGTTTATGCTTGACGCGTTTACTTTCCGCTTGGTGATGCGGCTCGCAGATGGGACGCGCTTCACAACTTGCAGCGTTTATGGTTCATACGGCTTGTCTCTGCGGTGAGCCAATATTCTCCCAAACTGTAGGGGGCAGCATGGAGCTCTACGGCATGCATCCAACACTACACCATAGTAGAAGTAAAAATGACAGTTGTTTACAACATGGCATTTCAGCATTTTTAACAGCGTTCTCGTCTTTTCCGACAGTGCGAGCTATTTCTCTCCAAGAATTATTAACAACATTTTGATCACGGTGATCTCTGAGAGCTGAATCATACAAATGTCTGTATTTACGAACCTCTGCCATACTAGTTCTTGCCGGTCCGCCATGTTTTTCCGCGTCCGACCGTCCGCGTGGTTAGAAATTTTCCTAGGTAAGCGCTGCGGAAATTTTGAGCCGTGCGGAGGCGCGGTGGAGGGGCGTGGTTGTTAAAATGATGCAATTTCGCAGAGCGGAGCCGTGCGGACGTGTCAAGCATAAACCAACCTTAAGTCGCACCAGCCATAAAATGTATAATGAAGAAGAAAAAACAACATATATAAGTCGCATTTTGGGGGGAATTTTTTTTTTTTTTTTTTTACAAAATCTGAGACCAAGCGTTTCACATTGCAAGACAAGTACCGGTAACAATAACAGAATAAACAACCAGCTGTTGCATCAGCGGTATGCAACATTGAGACATTGAGGTGTGCAGCAGAGGATGGCTGGATGTGCACCACTGGCAGTGGGCGGGGAGAGCTGCAGCCTGGGTGGGTGGGGGGGATTCAGGGCGCAGCAGCGCGCCACGGTCTCCAGCAGAGGATGGCGGTGTTTGAAACCCTCCCAGCGGGACAGGGGAGCTCATTCCTGGGTCAGAGCTGGCCCACAGCAGCTCGCCACAGTCTCCAGCAGGTGATGGCTGTGCGCTTTTCATTCCCTGCGGGGCGTAGGAGCCGAGTCCTGGGTCGGAGCAGGCCCACAGCAGGGCACACCAGGCTCCAGTAGGTGATGGCTGTGTGTTTTTAATTCCCTGCGGGATGTAGGAGCTGAAACCTGGGCCAGATCCAGTGCGCAACGGCGAGCCACAGGCTCCAGCAGGTGATGGCGGGGCAGGGGAGCTTATTCCTGGTCCGGAGGTGGCTTGCAGCAGCACGGTATATATAATTTGGTATATAAGTCACTTTGGTATACAAGTCGCAGGACCAGCCAGACTATGAAAAAAAAGTGCGACTTATAGTCCGGAAAAAATGGTACGCCCTTTATGTGGACTCTCAGCGTTTCCGGAATGCTTTAGTGCAGAGAGGACGGAGAGCGCGGATCGTTTATGCGCTCCAGGCAGCGGCGCACACCAACATTTTCTAAACGACGCCACCAAAAATATATAATTAACATGATGGGTCATGTTTGCTCATATTCTCTGGTAGCTCCTGTCTTTTATGCGTGCCTGACGCTGGTGATTTCCCCTCACTGACATGGCCATGCTGAGCGTGCTCCGCTATTTTTGCGGTCGGTAGATCCCTTTGATCTGCTTAGTTCAAAAGTATCTGATAAGGTGAAAGAGGAGGGAGTCAGGCAGCGGTTTTCTGGAGAACTGAGAGGAGATGCAGGAAGATCAGAGACAGACAGGAAAATAAAAAACAAGAAACTAAAAGAGATTGAAGATGAGAGTAGACTTATCCCTCTTTACAAAGCAATAATTTATATATTAATATCCGAACCCCCCCCCCCCCCCCACACACACACACACACACACACACACACACACCTCACAGGGCCCCCCTAAAGCCTCTGTGTAATCCGTATCATCTAGATGCTTTACTCATGTTACTATAGTCTTAGACTTGTAGCTACATTAACAGGAAGAGTTAACATTATGATTTATTGCCATTTCAACTGTAATTTCATCTGGTTTTCTTATGAAGCCATTGAATTAGAAGAAGCACCTGCATGAGCATGTAGTAGATGCCGGCCAGGCCATGGGCGGCTCCTATGTACTGCTTCTTGTGCCATTCATAGAGGAGAGGGCAGCGATCGCTCTTCTTCTGCTCTGCTGACATGTTCTTCCCAGACTCCAGTATGGCTGTCACCACCTGTAAACAACCACACCAGCTCATTATTTTTAGAGGTGCTCTTCACACAAATGAAACTCAGAGAGGAAAAACAAACACAAGAGAAAAAACAATCAAAGCTAAACTGAGACTATCCGACAAACAGCCATGGAGGTGTCCAGGGCGTTGATTTGTCATCATTAGCAGCCTATGAGAAGACGGCGGTTACCAGTCTGGGGGTGAGGTCGGATGCAGAGCAAGACTGGCCAACCAGGTCAACAGAACTGTGAGATCCTGCCATTTCCCTCTCAAGCGAATAGCCAAAATTAAGCAGTTTCTCTCACACAAGCATTTAGAACAGTAATTCACACCTTCATCACCTCTAGGTTGGACTATTGTAACTTGCTTTATGCAGGCATCAGGCAGGCCTCTATTAAGTCCTTTACAGATAGACATTCTGGAATACGTGTGGACAGTTCAGTCCGGTTTTTAACCAGAACTGTGTTTTCAGACACACCACTTTTGTACCTGAACTTGTCCTTTCGGCTGCCTTCACACAGCAGGGAAACGTTCCAGATGTCGGGGGGGGGGGGGGGGGGGGGGGGGGGGGGGGCATGCGGTGGGCGTACACGCGTCATTTACCCAAAATAAGCCATTCAGTCAAACATGGCAGAAGAGATAGAATTCCTCTCACTGATCGGACTCACGTTAAGCATAATTCTGCGCAGACGAAGACGCATAAGAGACCTGGATGATGAAGCTCAATGGTTAAAAGGAATCACTGAAGCGGTGTGATGCACTCCATTGCGCGTCTAGACGGTACCGTAGGAGGCGAGCTGCCATGGTTCGCCGCATGCTACAGGAGCGGGCTATCTAGGTGCGCACAGCGTCCCCCGGTCCCCTCCTCCTCCCCCTCCTCCCTGTCTGGAACTCGACCTCACCAGTCTGAAGCAGCCACCATGACCGTAACAAGTCCGGTCCTGTTACTAGGGGCTTCGTCCGGTTTAATTACAGAAAAGGTTATCCGGATGTTTGTATTCAGACACGAAGGTCTTACGGACAGAGTCCTGAACATTTCCGTTTTTCATGGCCTGTCTGAAGGGGGCTTTGGAGAACTCTTATCGGATCACCTTTACAGTGTCGGTACAGGATCTGCTCGGGTGCAGGATCTGCTCGGGGTCCTTTGACTGCCGATGACATCACATTACTGCAGATCTACTCTGCTTTCATGTGAAAGTTTCACACACGTTTTGGAAAGACATCAGCAGTTTTGTTAATACATTCTTGTTTGTTAACACCTAAATGTTTTCTTTATAATTGTAATTTGTTAATAAAACACCAAGTCATCTTTGTTTTGTAAAGAATGTGAAATTGCATAAAACCAACATCAGACTGACAAAAAATAGAACAATTCTTATATGTGAAGCCATATCTGTTTGTATTAATGTGGAGTTCGTCTGTTTATTTCCTTAGTTGTTATCTAAATACATTCTTTGACTCAAAATGTTGCTTGGTGTCTTTCAATAAAGTTCTTATAATTTATTTTGCCCCATTTTATCAACATCAAGAGCTTTTGAGGGTCACCGTTTATCATTTGCTCATATTTTACATTTCCTTTAGAAATTCAACACATATTTTCTCCATAAGTGTTGATTTTTTGGACTGCAGGACTACGACCGCAAATTTGTTCTGATTAATCAAAATCATAACGTGATAACATCACTTCCGTAAGCTTCATGTTCAGCCAATCAACTACTTTGACGTCATCGGCAGTCGAAGGACCCCGAGCCGATCCTGCACCCGAGCCGATCCTGCACCCGAGCCGATCCTGACCGACAGTGGATCTCTAGTTTTAAAGGGCTTGAATGGGGAGGCTCCTCCATATTTGTCAGATGGAATTCACCCGTGCATCCCTTCGGTCAGCTGGGACTGATGACAGTCATCCCCGATAGTGATGACAGTGCCCAAGCATAGACTGAAATCTCGAGGGAGTCACGCCTTCTTGCACCAGAAAATCAGGTGAGATTTGAGTCCTTCTACTGAGGTCATGGAAGATTGTGACACAGGAGGCGCAGTGCACAGGGCCTGGAAAGCGTGGGCTCCTCTGGGTCTTATCGATAGTAAAGGGGGTGACCAGTGGGTGGAGGTCAACGAGGGTGAGCGGGTAAACATGGGATAAGAATGTCTGGGATATGCCAAACCATGCAAGGCCTTATAAAAAGGAACCAGAACCGTACAGGAATCCAATGCCGAGCTGCAAGCGCGGTGCTGTGTCACGTCTACGAGGTCCCGCCCCCATACCCCCCCCACGATGGACATACAGAAGCCAAATGCTCCACACGCTACTACTGCACAGTGGTAGACACAATCAGCGACAGAGTCATGTTGCTGTTAGCCAATCAGAAGAGAGATGAAGCGTCTGAAGCCATTTTCTCCTCCAGCTGAAACCTCTCCACGAGTATGACGTTCATTCGTATTAGAAACCACTGCAAAGGTATTGATTAAAAGTGCATTCAACACTTTTAAAATGAAGATCTGAACCAGTACAAACTAACCAAGACATGCTATTGTCATGCAGAGACAAAGCTAAATGCGTTAAGCACAACAACATGCGAGTAAAACACAATTATTAAACACATTCATAAGTGATGAAGAAAACTAATGCAAAGTGGTTATGAAGTGCAGCTCATCAGACTGAGACTCGTGCTCTGCAGTAAACCGAAGAGAAAAGGCAGCTTACTGGAGGTAGTTTCAGTGTGAATTCATTAAACGGGCTTGTTTTACATTAGAAATGCTAAATTCCTCCTGCTAACGCCACAGACTCAGAGAAACCTCACCTTTGCGATTATGCTGTCGTCCACAGCGTTCGCTCCAATTTCTTTGTTAACGTAGAGCAGAGCATACAGGTATCCGGCCCGTCCGTACAGCAGCTCGTCTGGCATCTCAGCATCTGGACCCACTACGGAGCGCTGCAGCTGCAGAAGCCTGGCAGACAAACGGCGGGCAGAGGAGACCTCTAAGCTGCACTAGTCACCACGGAGTCCAACAGGACACTGCTATCATATAAAATGTACTTCATATGTTGGATAAATAAAGCTGCAATAGTCTTAGTCTTAACAAAGCTCTAACAGTATTAGGGATGGGTACCTTTGACATTTGAATCGATCCGGTACTAATTCCCGGTACCTACGAATCATACCGGTACTTAACGGTACCAATTTTTGATACTTTTGAGTGTTTATTATTTTAATTCTCTTTTATAATTAAATATATATTTTTCTCAATATATAACAATATTTGATAAATATCACGCTAAATAACATTCAACTGTTTGTATTAACATCGTCCTTGTAGTTTTATAAGCTGATAATTAAACTGAAGCAAACATCTTTCCTGTGAACTAAATTTACTGTGTATCTTCATTCCTTTTGCAGTCCTTTTTCATTTGATTTTTCCTACTGGGAAGTTGGAATTTCCGAGGAGAAAGCGAACGCACCATTAGCTGATAACAACGGTGGCAATGGAAGCTAACATATCAAGCTAATGTTATCTTAAACAGTTTATTTAACTGCTGGAGCAGATTAAAACGATGATGCCTCACACAGATCGTTGTTACTGGTTTCATCTTCACTCGTCGCATTTAGTAAAGTGAAACCAAACTTTAGAGCGCGTTCATGTTCTTCTAGTCGGAAATTCGGAGTTCCGAGGAGAAAACGAACGCACCATTAGCGGAATGGAAGCTAACATATCAAGCTAACGTTATCTTAAACATTTTTATTTACCTACCGGAGCAGATTAAGATGAGGATGTCTCACTTAGATCGTTGTCACTGGTCTCATCATCACCCAGTTACCCATCACATTTAGTGAAGTGGACCCAAGCTTTAGCATGCGTTCTTTCTACCACGCTGCTCTGCTTACAACTGGCTCGCAGCGACCGACAACATAACGCTCTTGCGCATGCGCAGCTGTCTTGGCAAGTTCTCGTTATGATGGACGGGTACAGATACGAGGCACCATTTGAAATTACGTGAATCGGTGCTCGGTCGGTACTATGGAATTCGGTCGGTGCCTTAAAAAGTACCGAATTCGGTATCCATCCCTATGCTATAAATATAATGTGGAGATTAAAAAAAAGACAGACATTAATAAAGTGGTTCTCTCGCATTCGTCTAAAAACCTCCGCTAATAACACGATTCACAAAGGCAACCACGGACCATCTGCTTATTGGTCTCGCCAAACCACCGCACTTCCCTGGGTCCTCCACTCTTCACACACTCAGGTAAGTGGCAACAGAACAGCACAGGTGTGTGAGGTTCTCCGCTCAATAACATCAGAGAAGGAGAAACCGTTCCAGCTTTAGGACAAACTACCAGAGTCCAAGAAAGAAAAACACCATCTGAAGTCACGGACAACAAGAGACATCTGGACCTAGAGAACGGTGTTTAGCACCCTCATTTCCTGTGGCAGAAGCGTCTCAGGGAAGATACCTGAGGGGAGGGGAGGGAAGAGGGTTTGGTGATCGTGTTCTAAACCGAGCTTGTTCTGTAGAGTCGCCATAACAGCTTTAACAACGTTTATTCAGTATAAAGTTTAAAGCAGAGCAACATTTGGTAATCTGTTATTTGGATGTGGACGTGGGTTACCCTTGGATCTGAAGCCACTACCTGGACAGACAGTCTTGACTGTCTGCAGTGTTGTTCAGTTTATGGTGGACCACAGCACAAACAGCAAGGGGCCCTGCATCTCCACATAGAAAGGTCACTTTACGGCCATTCAGGGTTCTCATGGCTCTCTTCACATAGTCAAGTGCCCTCTGCAGGTGGGCGGCCTCCTGGGAGACTCGATGCAGCTGCAGGTACAGCAAGGCGATGCCTGTAGGGGAAACAGAAGATTTGGATGCCATGGAATAGTTGGAATACCTTTGGGCAGTAAACTTAAGCCGTCACTCAATAGCCACAACCCTGAGCCAGCATCAGGGAGCCGTAGGACAGCTTTAAGTGGTCAGATTGTAATGTGGCGCAATGGCGATGGTGGCTTACAAGGGGGTATGCTCTGCGTTCTCACGGACTAACACTTCTCTTGGACATAACTTGCTTTTTATTGCAATCAAAGCCGTGCTCATTACGTTTATTTCACAAGTCGCTCCAAAAGGTGGCTGTCCTCCAGTCTCCATGAACATTCAGGTGATCCGAGCTCCAGGTCTAATGGAGAGAAGCTCCTGGAGTTTATAGTTTCCTGCCGAAGCTAGGCTCGGTGTGACAATCATGATGTTAATGTGACATTGGGCTCCTGCATGTGTGCATCTGCAGTTTTTGAGGTGAGCACAAAGAAGAGAGGAGCTCCTTTCCTTTTCAGAACTTCCTGCACACATGAACTTGTTGTAATAAATATATTTATACGTTGGTGTGTTGACAAGAGCTTGATTTCTTAAGAAATCAAAAGATTGCACGCTGTAAATTCTGGTGATGGCATCGTGTGCAAGCCCAACAATCAAACTTCCAGCAGCAGGAAGTCTCTGCATTAGTTGGAAACAAGGCGTGCCCACTGTTTGAAACCCATCCTGTAGCCGGACTCATGGTCCTCCTCTCACATTCAGAGGAAAGATCAGCAGAAGTAGAGGAAACAGAATAATCTGACTCCACCACCAGTCCACTTCAGACAATCTAAACACATCCATTTGTCCAAGAGTTTCAGGCTGCAAGATCTAATCCAGAACTGCTTCCAACGAGTTGTCCTTATCGTGCTCATTTGTTGCCACAAAAACTGAATTGACCAGATAATCAAACTCCAACGTGTTTGATGGTGCCTGAGCTCAGCCAGGTGCATAAACACACCAAATGTTTTTGTTTTCTACACTTTAAAGTTCAGTAAGAGAGTCAAACTGTTTTATTTGCCTATCAGAGGTCAGGTTGACCTTTTGATTTCAATACAAACAGCAGAAGATCTAAAGAAACGTGTAGTTTCTCACCTGTGCCACTAATAGAGAAATGACTGAATTTGGTGGTGAACGTAAAAATCACAAATTTGACAACTTTGCTCCAAAATGAAACTAACAACACAGAAAGCACGATTATTTGATGCAGATGTTACAGGATGAAAAGCTGTGGTTTGAATGGAAGTCAATCGGACGTTTGGAATCAGCTGCTACACAAAAACTATTGATGCAAACATTTTAATAATCTGGATATTTCATAACATAACAAAGGCTGATTTATAATAAATGTCCCAGGAAGAATAAAATGTTTTTTTTTGGAAAATAACTCATTTTGTGTTTTTTCATAAATTACAGCAATGAGTAATCAAACTGGCATTTAAAGGGTTAAAATCCTGAAAATGATGGACGTTTTTATGTGTTTGAGCAGGACTGAAGTTGTTTAACAGATCTATGGGAAATAAAATAAAAAAAAATTAAGCAAATGAATGCATTCATTTTTATAATCACTTTAACAAGCGGACGTTTTTGTCCTCTTAGGTCACAAGAGGCTAGTGGGTTTTTTAACAATTTATTTCTGATTATAATCAGTCACTCTGAGTTTTTCATGCAGGCCGAACATGAAAATAGTCTCCTACACCTATCTCCTGCATTAGCTTCTGATAGAAAACAGGCAAGTAAAACCTGACAGAGCTACGTCACACTGTCACTATCGTTGATGGGCTCGCCCATGTGGACTCACGACGGGGGAGGACGTTGGTGGTTTAGTGTTCAGGAAACAGCTGAACGTCTCGGGTTGCTAACCATTAGCAACTCCACAACACAGCAGGAGATGTTGCAGAGGACAGAGTCAGCAGTAGAGTGTTATCCAATCAGAGGAGAGACATCCAAATATCAGGAAATAAGAGTCCAAATACTGTCGACTGAAGCTCAGCTGTGATGTGGTTCACTTCTAGTTCCTGAGAATGGCGCACCAGGGCGTTTTTCCCCCCAGAATATGGCGTACAAGGCATTCGTTCCTACTGGAGACCACTGCAAAAGTACTGAACCGAGTGTTCCACACCTTTAAGGGGTGCAGCTTCAGTCTCAAAAAAGAAAGTTACGTCTAATCTAAAAGGAAATCCAAGACAGCACAGAGACCGCCCCTGCACACCACCACCGTATAACCTTTAGTGAAAAACACACGATCGCGCCACATTGCCTCCACAGTCAGACCACAATCAGACAACAACCAAAGGCTCCACGATGCCGCCCCAGCTTTGCAGCTGATCGGCGGTATTGTTTTATGACAGAGGCTAAACAGGTCGAGCATCAGTTCTGCTGACGAAGACCTTTCACAGTGACTCGGGTCAGACCTGTCCAGCCCGTATAGGTGGAGAAGTCGTGAGGGTCAGCCGTCTTCAAGCCTTCTTCCATCTGCTGGAGGAGATCTTTGATCTTACTCTGGACTTTTGTCTGGAATCTTGGGCTAATCTGGACAGGAAGGAAAACAAGTCATTAACGGTATAACCCAGACAAAGAAAAGGTTTAATGCTTTGTTACGATTTTTTTTGCGTGTGAGTCTGTGTCTGAATATACAGTTAAAGGTTAAATAGGAAAAGAATAAACGTGAATAATTTCAGGTCATCGTGAAGCCTCAACAGATGCTAGAATGATGTATGGTACAAATACTGTCCTGCATATCGTGTAAACACGATGCCAACCGGTCCTGTTTCCTGTGTCAAAGTGTCTCCTGCTGGGAGCGAGCAGAGAAAGTGGAGCAAGTAAAGGAAATAAGACAGTGGTGAGTGTGATTGGAGTTTTATTTCAAAGTCTGTGGTTATTTATGCCGTTTAAACTTCACTAACAGGCCATCTGCTATCCAAGGCATTAACTTGTTAGCTTAGCATTAGCACACATGCTGCACATCAACTAAAATCCATCCACTGAATGAAAAGCTTACCCTTTTGATTAAACCAAGTTCTGTAAAACAGCCAAGCTAAGAATGCTAAAGCACTGGCAGAATTCAGTTAAATTCAAGTTTATTTATAAAGCGCCAAATCACGACAAGAGTCGTCTCAGGGCACTTCACACAATAAACATTCCAATACAGTTCATTAAGCCAATCAGAAAAGTTTCCTATATAAGGAACCCAGCAAAATGCATCGAGTCACTGACTAGTGTCAGTCTTTACAGCAATCCTCATACTAAGCAAGCATGTAGTGACAGTGGAGAGGAAAACTCCCTTTTAACAGGAAGAAACCCCCAGAGGATCCTGACACAGTATAAGCATCCATCCACCATGACTCACTGGGGATGGAGAAGACAGAGCAGGCAGGCAGACACACACACACACACACACACACACACACACACACACACACACACACACACACAAAGTAATGCGTCTATGGTTACATTGTGATTTCTTAGTAAATATCCTATTTGTCGTTGTCTTCCTCCGCTTATCCGGGTCCGGGTCGCGGGGGCAGCATCCCAACTAGGGAGCTCCAGACCGTCCTCTCCCCGGCCTTCTCCACCAGCTCCTCCGGCAGGACCCCAAGGCGTTCCCGGACCAGATCGGAGATGTAACCTCTCCAACGTGTCCTGGGTCTACCCGGGGGCCTCCTGCCGGCAGGACATGCCCGAAACACCTCCCCAGGGAGGCGTCCAGGAGGAATCCTGACCAGATGCCCAAACCACCTCAACGGACTCCTTTCGATCCGGAGGAACAGCGGTTCTACTCCGAGTCCCACCCGAATGTCCGAGCTCCTCACCCTATCTCTAAACCCTTCTTTCCACCGGAGCCGTCAGCAGCATGTTACTGCAGCAGCACGTCTTGCTCACGTAAGCTGCTGCTTGGCCCTTCCCACGAGACGCGAAGCAGCAGGGGAGCAGCTGTCACCGACCGAGCACGAAGTCACACGAGTGACTTCGTCAGTAAACACAACAACAAGCAGGAGAAAACTACAACATGGTTTGTGTTTTATGTTCTGTCCGTTTTATAATCGCCAATACGGACCTGAAAAACAAAGGAGATCGCTAGCTAGGTGATAACTTCTCACGGGGCCGCACAGTTAGTAACCTTTTTTAAAGTAAAGCAACCGGAAGGAAGTACGTTTCTTTATTCTGAAAATCTCGGACAGCTTTGCTCTGTTTCCGTGTCCGATTTCCTGTCTTTCCTTCCCCAAAAAGGTCGAACTTGACCCGTTTCAGAGGAGTCACTCGTAGAAAATAGAACCGGCGCGTAAGGGCCGCGACATGCTGCTCCTGAGACGCGGCCGACTCACGCTGCTGATGGCTGCTGACGGCTCCAGTGGAAAGCAGGGGTAAGGCTGAGCCCGGCCACCCTACGGAGCAATTCTATTTGGTGAGAGATAAACTTTATTTTCTTTATCCTAGTGAATCTATAAATAAACGGGTAAACTAGTAGTAGCACAATGATTTGTTGAGGAGAATGATTTGTTGGGGTTAGGGTTACAGGGACGGACGCATGTTGATGCCCTTTGTTGTCAAGTTTTAATGTTTTACTGTCCCTGTTTTCTATTTGTACCCCGAGTTCTCCAAAAAATAAATGTTATTGTTGTTTTTAATAAATAAGGTTACAGCGGGCTGGTTTATTTACTCATCTTTGCATTATGCGATATGCAAAAGTAGTCCATGTGGAGACTGGTATGCATGTCTTTTATAATCTTTTGTATCGTTATGTCTCTTTTAATGTGGACCTTGAGTCCGATAATAAAGTTGAATGACTGAATGAATCAGATATGATTCTGCTGTTTTGGAGCCATTTTAAAATAACATTGCATTTGTTTCAACAATCATTTGTTGCTGTTTTTCTGCCTTTGTCTGTGTTCCGGGTCATTAAGAAGGTTTCTCCACAATTAAAGATGTTACTGCACCCTTTCCAAACCCCGATAATGAAAACTGTAGGTTTATTCATCACCTGATCTGCTCTTTAACTTTAATGATTTTCTGTGACATGATTCACCACCATTCATTCTTGTTATGTTTGTCTTTAGCTCAGTCACAATCCACATTCAGCACTACCACCTGCATCCACTGTGTCCCCACCCCTGGTTCATCAGACAGCACTGCTGCATCATTTTCAGGTGTGCATTCTAATTCCTTAGGATACCTAATCCTAATTCGACGTCAACCGCAGTAGCCTCCAGATTTGTGTGCAATAATGTGGTGTGCTTCATCTCTTTTTTTTTGTATGTTTCAGCTCAGGTAAAATCCATGAACACAGCATTATCCCTTTAAGATGCTAGCCCGGGGGTTGGCAACCCACGGCTCTGGAGCCGCATGCGGTTCTTCCATCCATCTGATGCGGCTCTCTGTGCTTGTAAAATAATGAATGGATATTTAAATAAAATGCTTTATATTTTACTGCATTAATTTTACATCTGGATGCCAATTCTAAATGTAAAGATTGTCTGCGTAAACCTGAACAGGCCCAACCCGGTCTTACTGAGAGACCGGGTTGACGGGTCACGCTTGTGCGTAATCATATGCGCATTCTGAGCTGACGAGGATGTGAGATTCTGGGATTCTCCTCAGACGGCTCCTGGATGTGTCGCCAGACTGGACACAGGAACAAGCGCTATTCAGCCAAAGTTTCATAATCAGGGAACATTTTTTAAGTGACAAGTCTCGCTTCAGTCGGAGGAATCTTCCCGCATGCGCTCTGGTTCTGCGACACGCTCCAAGCCCCTCTCCACATCTTCAGCTCGCTGTGGACCTTATGTAGTACACGCTGACAGCGAGCTGCGCTGAGCAATGTCCAGCTCAGATGTTCAGATGGGAATCTTTTCTTGAGTGATTTAGCTACATCTGCAATTTGCGAAACAAATACAGTGTCAGTTCGTCTGCATGCGTCGGGGTAATTATTTCTATTCTTTCTCCGTCAAAAATAAATAGTAAAATACGGGAACTATCCGGTCAACACAAGCCCTGCTTTTAACTGTTCTGTTTTCTTGTGAAAATTGTCGCAAAGAGATATAATTTAACTTGATTACCACCAGAGCCAGGCGCACTGCGCCGTTATCTCCGTCACTGTAAATGAGGGAAAAACAAAATGATCGGATCCTTTTCTGACCTTCCCCACCTACAAAGTTTAATTACAACAATCAAACGTGACAGAGCCTGGATTTGTATTCTGAACAGTCTAAACATGTTTTAAAAAGAAACGTATGACAAAAGTGGCACCTGCTCAGTAAAACCACCAACAGGGTGAAAAATATCAAAATATTGTAGGCAGAGACGGGCTACAACTTCTGGATCCATTTTATATAAATCGTTTTATTGATTATCTTTTTATGAAAGATAACTTTGACGTACACAAGCGACCGGTACCGGCTGCTGTCACCTGTTGTGAGCAGCTCTCTGCTGTCTGAGGGTAGGCCCCGCCCACAACGCCGCGGCTGCTGTGGCTCCCAGTGTTTTCTTTACTGTGGGAAACGGGTAATAATGGCTCTTTGATGGGAACAGGTTGCCGACCCCTGTGCTAGCCCCACCAGATCTACAAATACAAGACATCGTTTGAAATCGGATGACCCTGAAAAATGGCCGAATTCCCAAACCGACAGTGAAGCGTTACTTGTCACATAAGGAGCAGTTCAAGTTATAATAAAACAGACTTTTTTCTTTATCAGTCTTCACAATTATACTTTTAAAATGCACATACTAAATGTACACATTTAATAAAGGTTGTTATGCACTTTGGAATGAAAAATGTTTAGTCGGTGATGAATCCTATTATGATGACACCTAGTTTGAGGGGCCCCTTGGACATTTTTCCTGGACCCCAAGAGACCCTTGCAGCGCCACTGATGCTCATTTGACCATGTTGTTATTTAAGCTAACGCTACCGATGTTTAGCTTGTTTGCTAGCGAGGCCATTTATTATCAGGACGAACACGCCAGCTCGTTTCTTAATATAAAATCACTCACCGATAAATGAAGACATCGGTTAAAACCAAAGTCCATGCTAAGCTAGCTCTGGTCGCAGTTATTACAAAACGCCACAAAAACAGATGTTCTGACCTTCCCTTCTGCGTCTAAAGGCTCTTTCCCGTAATCACTGTCTGCTTCGGGGCTCAGGCCGAGCCCGCCCTGGTCCCAGTCAGGGTAAGGGTTCGGGAAAGCTCGCTCCTCCATATCCGAATCAGCTGAGATCAACCTCAGCCTTTTGGACATGTTCTCTCCCATCTCTACGGCGGCTCGGAAGGGACAAAGCCGTCCACCACTCTAAAGAGACAAACAGGCAAGAAAAAAATTACTTAATTATGGAGGTCCGAAAGTGCCACAGTTTAATACATCAACAGAGCATTAAGAAGTTAATTTAGGGTTGCACCAACAAGGTTTAATGTAAACTAAGATTGGCACTAATAAGGGATTAGTAAAACTAAGTTTAAAATGGCCTAAACATGGTTTAAAGTTAAGAGAGGTTGTGTGTCACCACTTTAAAGAGCAAGTAACGTCTAAATTAACTTTTTTTTTGCTGATGAACTGTATAAATGAGTGTCTAATAGTGTTTTAAATGTGTGCATTCTTTATTTTAGCATTTTGGTGCATTTTCTTTAAAAATTAAAAATGCTGCCTAAATACCACAGTATAGCGCCATCTTCAGCTTAAAACATAGAATTTGACTCATTTTGAATAAATTTTAGCCAATGGCTAAAGAGTAAGATACTACGTAAACCAGTAGAGTACTACGTAGCAGCTCTGTGTGAACGTTATAAAAGCAACGAGCGTCTCGGCCACGCCTTGTGGCGAGTTGGGAGTTGGATTTGCAAGCGAGTGTAGGAGGTTAGCGGTAGTTCAGCCTTAGCATATAGCGTTAGCATATCCTAGTCTTCAGCATAGCTTTTAGTGTTATAAATACTTATTTAGTGTTAGTTTGGCTGTTGGATATTGTAGTTTAGTTAGTGTTTGGCTGTTAGTGTAATTGGGAAAGTAGTTCGGGTTTAGTGCTCCATATCGTGTTAGTATTGGTGAGTAGGTGTAGTGTAGTATGGTTGCGGTGGCTCTGTGGGCATTTTACCTGCGATTCTGCACATCTCCGTTTGAAGAGGGAGGCTGTGCCCACCGTGGCTCTTCCGCGATTTAGATGCAGCCCACCGACTCTGCTCCCCCACCACGGCGGGCTCCAGTCTGAGGTGAGTAAGCTAAATAAACGTTTTAACATCTTCTAAAGACAATTCCCTACCTAAATGCAAAGTCTGAGAGACGTGGTTCACTTCCTTTAGCTAGTCAGTCGGTAATTCTGCAACAGTGGCTCTAGTGACGCAGCACTAGTTGACAGACAGCATTACAGCGTGAAATCCAGCTTGTGAGGATATGTGAGGAATTCTGTTCAGGAGGTTGCATTTCAGGCTCTCCACATCATGTGTGACTGACTTTTACGTTATAACAACGATCACACACTAGGAATGTTATAAAGCGCCTTTATAGGACAGTTTCTTTTGTATTTTATCTGACTTTATAAACTCCCAACAACAATGTGCTTCTATTTTTTTTTTCAGGCTAAATCTACCCAAGACACTGGCTGTCAGACTGATTTAGCTGCAAGAATGCACTTGTCCAGGCTGACGTGAAGCCTTACCGGCGTAGCAAAGGTGAATTATTTTTAATAATCTTCTATGTAAACATTTTATTATTACCTTCTAGTTTTAATTTGTTTTACAGATTATTGTTACACGTGATTTTATGCTCTTTTAAACATTTATAAATGTGCTGCTTCTTTGTTTTTACATAGCCAGCCAGAATGGAGCTCACAGCTGCTGTGTGTCTGGTGGCACAGGGACCATGATGGAAATTCATCTTCCAGAAAGTCACAGAGCAGCGTCTACACCCCCTGAAAAGACCAAGATGTAAGGTGTCTGCTGTTGATTCCAGCTTCCACCTCAGTGACAGTGCAAGCTCAGTGAACTGTTCAAGGTAAAAAAAAATTAAAACATTTCAGAATTTTTAAGATATTAACAATTAAATAAGTATGTGATTACATCATGACATCATGAAGGAGGCTACTGATTCTGGCCCTGTGACACTTGGTGGTGACGTGTGAGCTGATTCACCTGGTAAATAACTTTTACATTAAATATTTTGTTTTTGCTATCAAAAGTAAATTAACTAATAACCTGCATTATTGCGGGACACTCAGCAAAATATGGACTCTACACCATGAGGCAGGCACACCTTAATTAATACTCTACAGTATAAGAGCACATAAGGTGAGCAACACCACATATTATTGTACACTGTCCTGGATTTGTTTTCTTTCTGCATCTCATCATTAGCCTGGCTGATCACCTGATAACTCTGTCATCTGGATATGACAGCATGAGGATGTCCTCACACACCTGTAACCTATCAGCTCATCTGGCAGAATAGAGAGAGAAGAGACAACACCACATCTCCTGTTCCTGGAAAGCCTTCAGCCATCCTTCGATGACTGAGAACCTCCATCAGCTCTGTCTCCTGTCTGCCTACAATTATTATAATAAATATTGTGTTTGACATTTTGTGCTGCCAAATATCTCATTTTGATTCCAGTTTTGATATTTTAATGGATATTTATAAATTACATTGATTATCACATTGTTGCATGTAGCTCAATTGTGATGAATTAAACTAGCACCTCACTGTTAAAAGCTTGTTTTAATTTCAAGCATGTTTACGTATTTATGGACATGAACAAAAACAGGAAATGTATAAATTGAGATTTATTTAATTAATATAACAAATAAGGGGGAATGAGTCATTGAAAGGCACATTCTTCTGGAAGCTCCTGATCCTGATGACACCAGCAGAGGAGACCAGCTGCAGACACCAGAGGACCTAGAACCAAGAGAGCAGCTGTTATCAGTAAATAAATCAGGGCAGTTCTAGTGGGCTGAACACATTACAGAATAATTTTCTCATGGGGTATTTTCATAACTTTGTATGCAGCAGACTGTAACTTGAGCCCAGGGCTACCAGAGAGCTGCTATCCAGCATGTTTCAGTGGTTTTCCTGCTTTAACAGGTTAGATTAGCTGTTAAGCAGCTCAGCTATTTGTTGCTGATTAAAGCCAGGTGTGCTGAAGCAGATAAACCTCTAACACATGCTGAATACTAGCTCTAGGGCCGTGGAGACAAACCCTGCAGCTAATCTGATGCTATGGCTAATGGCTACTTACATTCAGAGCAGGTTCTGTTGGGTCGGTTCCGCTAGTTTCAGGCAACTCACAAGCTCAAAACAATAAGGCTCAGGTCCGCTTGTCTCCTCCAAATAGACTTGGTCCCTTTCTTCTCGAGTGTCTGTGTAAGGAGGGGGAGAAACGTCCTCCACTTCTAATAATTGCTCAGAGTGAAGGGAGCTAGCATCGTCTAGTTAGCCATCGTCTTCGTCACTGCCGCGGCTCCGCCCTCTCGGTCCTCCAGGCAACACCTACTAATGTTGCATTTTTTTAAATTGTTACGTGGGTGGAAAAGGACTCCGAGGCTCAGTTGACCCGCTCTTTAAATTAATCTCAGTTTAGTTAAACCCAGTAAATATTTTTAAACTGGCTTAAATCGTTAAAATAACATAAAGTCTAATAAAATATATTAATCAAACAGACTACATTATTAAATTATAAACATCAGAAGCTTCAGACCCCGGGGTCTCATTTATCAAACATTACGTAGAATCCTTACTAAAACCATACTTAAAGAGCAAGTCACCCCTTACAAGAAGCGTACTTCACTCTCACTTCATGTTTGAAAAATGCAACAAATGCTGTTGCCTAGCAGACCGAGAGGGTGGAGCCACTAACAAATACACACACTCATGACATTGTGACATCATAATGTACCAGTTTACATCATAGCATACCTCTTAGCCAATAGCGACGGCAGATTTAAATTCAAATGTAGTGAAGAGTTTTTACCCGACAACGGCACAACACTGACAGTTTCAGGCAGATCATTTTAATTTGAACTAAAATGCACTAAAGTGCAAAACTATTGACTACACGTGTCTGCAGCACAATTAGACACGCATTTATATAGTTTATCAGAAAAAAATAGTTGATTTGGGGGTGACTTGCTCTTTAAGCTCAGCAAAAAAATGTACTTACGCCAAGTAAGTTTGTGATCTATCAAACATGGAGTACGCACAGCCGTCCCTGCGATAATGGCGTTGCGTGTCTCTGCACTGACGCAGATGCATAAAGTAGGCTTTAAACCATGTCTCCTCACGAAGCCCTAGTGAGGAGAGACAGAGAGCTGCCGCAGCTTCAGTCAGCGGCAATGTTTACGTCTCGTTATTAAGAATAACAATGAATCATGCATGCGGGAAGTGCCCGTTGGTTCATAAATTAGAGACTAACAAGAATGTTTCTCAGCTGCTTTTTAGTCACATCCCGCCCTCACCACGCCCACTTACTGCCATAAATAGTCAATGAAAAGTGCATTCTCTGTTTGGCTGGCTGGTTAGCGCGCATGACTTTCACACGGGAGTCTGGGGATGGAAGCCCGATCGAACCTTTTTTTTTTTTATATCCGCCACAGATCTCTCTAAGAATTCACAACATTGACGGCTTCAGCAACGCTGTGCCGCTCTGTGGATTTTCTCTTATTTGTTTTGCAAAAGCACTTCCTTTCATTTCTCCACCTCACCCCAATTTCTGCTTCTGTGAAATTGTGCTTCCTTAATCTGCCTTGATCTACGGTCGCCATGTCATTGGCGGAGCGCTGCAACAGCCGGCTTATGTACATGCATGAGAACCACAAGGCACTTTGCATTGACTATTTATGGCAGTAAGTGGGCGTGGTGAGGGCGGGATGTGACTAAAAAGCAGCTGAGAAACATTCTTGTTAGTCTCTAATTTATGAACCAACGGGCACTTCCCGCATGCATGATTCATTGTTATTCTTAATAACGAGACGTAAACATCGCCGCTGACTGAAGCTGCGGCAGCTCTCTGTCTCTCCTCACTAGGGCTTCGTGAGGAGACATGGTTTAAAGCCTACTTTATGCATCTGCGTCAGTGCAGAGACACGCAACGCCATTATCGCAGGGACGGATGGATAAACAACATTTAATAAATACAAGGATCACTTCCTGATCTGATTCCACTCAGTTAATAAGGTCTCAATGTCACACTGAGCTGATTCCTGATGGTTTAGGCTGTTTTTACCTGCTGGAGAGTGTTTACAAATCTCCAATGCCACATTTAATGATTTTCCGGTTCTCCATAATGAAAAAAGCCCACGAGGTGGTCTGAAAACCGACCAGGTGTTACCAGCATACAATGTGTTTTGTTGCTGGTTTAGCGGGTGGACCAGCATACAATGCTGGGACAGCAATAGCTCATGAGGTAGAGCAGTTGTCCAGTAATTTTGAAGGTTGCAGGTTTGATCCCAGCTCTGACCACAGAATGCTGCTTTTGTGTCCTTGGGCAAGACAGTTAACCCACCTTGCCTGTTGGTGGTGGTCAGAAGGACCGGTGGCGCCAGTGATCGATAGGCCTCGCCTCTGTCAGTGCCCCCCAGGGCTGCTGTGGCTACATTGTAGCTCATCCTCACCAGCATCTGAATGTGTGGATGACTGTGTTGTGAAGCGCCTTGGGGGGGTTTACAACCCTAAGAAGGCTCTATACAAATACAGGCCATTTACCATTGCAAAATCAAACATGTTTATCACAGTCAGTAAGCAGAGGTGAGGAGGAAGTGATGTGCAGGTGTGTGATCTAAATCTTTTGGCATGTGCTAACCACTTGAAGGCAGACTGTTTTAGGCAACAAGCAGCAGGCTTAGCAGCAAATATCCTGATGGAGGGAGTTTATTTATCTATTTGAATGGGACATATGCCCTAGTTAGCAAGCTAGTTTCCATATGTAGTCCCGTAGACACACAGAGAAATTCCATCCATCCATCCATTTTCTATACCTGCTTATCCTGCGGGGTCGCTGATGCCTATTGTCACACCCTGTCCTGTCTCCCCATTCCGTTCAGTCATGTGTCTCTGTTAATTGCTCCCTCCTGCCTCTCGTTTTCCAATCACCCAAGCTCCCAGCCCTCATGTATTTAAACCCTCTCAGTTCTGTATGTTTTGTCGGTTCATTGTTTCTATGTCCAGCGTGTTTTATATTAAAGCCTTTGTAAGCCATTCCTGTCTGCCTGCCTGCCTGCCTTTTTCACCCGCGTTTGGATCCTTGCCTCCGCTCACCTCGCCCACACGCTGTGACACCTATCTCCAAGTCTCTGGTTAAACGGGCAGGGTACACCCTAGGCAGGCTCCCAGTACATCACAGGGCAAACAACCAGAAGCCCATGGAGAACATAGAAACTCCAGGCAGAAAGACCCCAGACTGGTGTGTGTGAACCTGGGACTTCCTCGCTGCAAGGCAACAGTGCTAACCTTTGCACCACTGTGCAGCTCTCACAGATTACATGATAAAGGTAA